TAATTTGCAATTGAAAAGCAGCAAGATTTTTATCATAACAAGGCCAACCTTAGCCTCACTCCTGTTCAAAGGCTCAGCGAGCAAGCACACAACTGTGCAGTGGATTATTAGTTCATTCAAGTGAATGATAATCGCACATAGCTGGGATAAAGCCTGAGACAGACATTAAAAGGACAAAAATTATACAGCTAAATATCATTCGTTTCATTATTCCAGTACAACAGGGGAAGACGTGCGCAAAGGGACACGTACGTTTTTGGCATAGTTACGACCCAGCATTCACCTGCACGGGGCTACTTCAAGGTAGTGGAAAGATGGGAATGGCCACCCTCCATCCCATCATTTCAAGGTGAGTTCGCTCTGGAACGGAAGTGCACTCAGATGAGTGGGCCTCCTACCGATAGATGGACCAGAGAATAAACAATGTAAAAGCACATCAAGTAGTTGTCCACCGATTCAACCTCGTGAACCTAGTCACTGGGGGTGCACACCCAAGAAATCGAGTCTTGTTAGAACAGTTTAAAACTGGGCCAGAAAACACGCCGGGGGATAAGAAGGGAAGACATGCTGTCCTACCTCGACGAGCAAATGTGGCGTCAGTGGATAGCGGGAACCCCTCGAGAAGCCATGCAGAAGTTTTTGGCCGTTTTAGCCAATCGATATTTAGTTAATAATCCTGTCTTGTCAACACGCAATTTTTTTAAAGTTCCTATTAGTTTTACTTGAATTTTGGTAAAGATAAGAACGATAAATAATCAAGCTAAATCCATGATTTCGTTGAGTAAATTTCTTTTCGTAGGTTAGGTCTACTGACCATACTGGTCTGGAAAGATTTTCTACCGAAAAGAATAATTTTTAATGTGATTTTAACTGGAATTTTAACTCATTTTGAACACAGATCTTTTCGAATTCGCGGATGATTGGAGCTTTACGCATGAACTGGGTGTATTGAGTTTTCTGTCGTAGGTGATCATTATAAAAATATTTCAAAAAAACAATTCATTCATTTCCATGCGTGGAAACAACACTTTTGTTGCGTTGTGAGAGCGAAATGACGATTTTCAAAGCAACCGCGGAAGTGTAGTCGGGGCCGTAATGTTGGAAGTAAAATGATTGCCAGTGGTTTAACGCGCCTCAATGAGAGTGTTAAAAAATAAAACGTGATTAAAGAGTTCAAAAGATCGGTGATTCAGTTGTAATTATATAAATAATAAAATTTTAGAATTATTTTGCGATATTAATGTTGTTGTACCGATGGGTGAATATTTTTCGTGGCGGTGTTTTTGGTCGAAAGAAAAAAAAAAAGAAAGAGAAGCCAAAATAATCACTCGAACATGGAAAGGCATGACAATATCAGGGGTTTTTTATAGCTGTTTCATATGAGTGTCTTTTATTTTCTTTAAAACCCTTCTAAAAAAATTAGAGTTAAATTTTAAAGTAATATCTCAATGCAAATTGTTGAATCTGACCCTTGTAAGTGTTGTAAAGAAAGCCGGAACGCGCGCGAGCGAAAAGAAGGGCGTCCCTATCTGGGAGCAAGAGAATCGCTAAAACGAAAACGGTAGAATGCATGGGATCATTTCTCTTTTCGATACATTTCCCCCCCTCTTCTTAACAAAGACTTACGAAGTACTCATCGTTAGTATCGAGATTTTTCTTGCACACTACACCGTGCGCCATAGATCTCCATCGCACTCTATAATAGTGTCAGACTCTTCACCAGTCTTTTGTCGTTAATACTGTAACCAAGCTCGATATACAACGAGGTCTTTATCGTGCCCGATTAGCTGTCGTACGTACTTGACTTATCGAGCTCGATTAGTTGTCGTTTCCTTATCGAGCTGGAATAGTAATCGAGTACGATAATTCTATGTCGAGCTCAGTTTGCCAAGAGCAAATATTGATCACTAAAACAAATGGCGGGAATGGATTGATAAAGAGTGAAATGGTCATTCATCGCTAGCTTCAAGTCAAGTGACTCTGAGATATACACATGTCTGTTTTATTGCGAAAAAATATCTAGAAAGTTACTTATGGTAAATGAAATTCAACAAAGCCAGACTTTTTTTAGACTCCATTGTCATATTCTTGCCGTCATAAAATAAAATAGGATCTAAACATGCCCCGAGTCACTTGGCTTGAAGCGATGAATGACCATATCACTCTTTATCAATCCATTCCCGTCATCTACGTTTCTTGAGAAAACACGTCGAACATCCTTGAACCATGTGACTTTAGGTGAAGGCGAGCCACCAGCTGAACAGTTTAATTTCACAATATCACCAATATGCTGAACTTAAATTTCATTGAGAGGACTGGATACAATGTAAGGATTCAGTTTGAAGAGTGAAGTAGAAACAAAGAAATCACTGCAATTCTTGATTGGAGAGTTTTGGACACTTGTTTTACTCAAGGTTGTTTATCAGTTTGTTTGTTTTGTAACTGGATACATCTCTCTCCATAACTGGCATACTTACATAACTCCATACTTACCAACAACTTTAAGACAACCCACATCACTCATGACATTTGCCATTTGGTTATTTCCTTGGCAAACGTAAGCTCCATCATCGTCCTCTGTTGTGTTTTGAACTGTAATTTGGGAACCGTTCATAAAATGTCTCTTGATTGAAAGCTGCTCGCCTGATCTTGTCCATGTTATCAGAGGGGTAGGGTAACCAAAGATGTCACATTGAAACACGGTGTCCCATGTCTTGTAAGCAGTTACGGAACGCCTAGGTTCGGTAATAAATTTTGCTGGTACTACCAAAAGAATATTACAACACAAAATGTAAACGAAGTTCAAAATGCAAGAAAATGCAAGGAAAATGCAAGGTAGTACTAATATTCATGGTATAGGACATCCTAATAGTGGTCAGCAATATATAGATTAGCATCAGTGATCAAGCTTTGACGAGACTATCGATTGAAGATTATAAGGCCAGCTATTTGTCCGCAGTTTACGTTCGCCCTGGATGCGCAATGAACGATAAATTCAAACAGTTATGTTGGAAGGCGCGCGTGACCGATTGGTGTGCGGAAAACATTAAGCTTGCGTTATAACAAGAAAATGTATTTTTTTAACAAGCAAATGATGAGCTACAGGGATCTTTACTTTTAAAATGCAAAATGAATAGTCTGCATAACTTCAAATGAGGAATTTACTGAAATGTGGAATTTACTGAAGGAGAATATATGAAACTGGATGTCAACTATTGCGTTGTAAAGACAGCAAGAGATTGTAAATATCTTGGAGAGGCCAATAATTCTGCTCTGCCCATAGGATTTTCCGCTGTACAGGTGTTGACACCAGGGTCGTGGAACTGAATTTTCTTTAATTTTAGACTTCTTTCACCAAAGTAATTCCTCTCCTTTTCTATCAGGTGTCTACTACTATTCATGGTACCATGACATCCAAATAGTGTTTAGCAATGTATAGTTTAGCACCAGTGATTAAGCTTGGACGAGACTATCGATTGTAGATTATAAGGCCAGCTATTTGTCCGCAATTTTACGTTCGCCCTGGTTGCACAATGAACGATAAATTCAAACAGTTTGTTGTTATCCGCGTGTGACCGATTGCTGTGCAGAGAAAATTAAGCTTGCGTTTTAACAGGAAAGTGCATTTTTTAACCAGAAAATGATGATAAAATAAATAGGATCCGGACCTTTTAAAATGCAAAATAAACATTCTGGATAACTTCAAATAGTTACATTAGATTTTTAATGGAGGAGAAATATGAAGCTGAATGCCAAGTTTTGCGTTATAAAGACAGCAGGAGACTATAAATCTCTTGGACAGACCTTTCACGCTGACATTGACGAATAATTCTGCCCTGCCCATAGGATTTTCCGCTGTACAGGTGTAGACACCAGAGTCGTGGAATTAGATTTTCTTTAATTTTAGACTTCTTTCTACAAAGTTCTTTCTCTCTTTTTCCAACAGGTGTCCATTTTTGTACCACGTGATTACGAATTGTGGGAAGCCATTTGCTTTACAAGGTATTGGAACATTTTATGTCTCTTTCACTGTTTTGGTGGGGGAAGGCTTTAAAATGAAGAGTGACAATTTTGCGAAATAAAGGTCTGCCACTATTTTTTGCTCTTAATTTACCTAGCGAAAGTTCCCTTTCCTCATCAAACCAAACTTGAGCTATGATAGCGATTCAAACAGCTTATCTTCTCCATTACAGGCACCTATTACGCATCACTCGTCTCTTCTTATTTTCTAAACATATTTAGCATTGAATATTCTGTACTTATTATTAACTTGAAGTGTTTACGTGTTCTACTATGTTTCTTTGCAAGTGTATGCCAACCTGTTTTGAAAAACGCTTGTTATTTGCTCAGCTTTAAATGCATTTTTGAAAAGCGTATTCAAACAAACCAATTCCTCTTTCAGGGTCTCAATAGGTCCAGTAACCATTAGTCGTAAACGGAAAAAAACAATTAGTTGATAGGCGTAAAGAATGACCAAGTTTTACCATGAGGTGCTAAAAGAATTGACTATAAAAATGTAAATTTTTAACTGCAACCAAAGAAATTGGCCTTTTAACCGTTGGTCGTGAAAATCATGGCCCCATTGGGACCCTCCTCTCTATCTTGGTTCTGGAGTATTTTAAGACCAGTTAGTCAATCAGTTCATTTGGTCGTGAAGGGTGGAGATCATCAGTGTAGCAGAGTAGACAAAAGTAAGATTTCGACTCAACGTGATCAATATATGGCACTCAGAACAAATTCTTTTTTTTTTTTTCTTAATTGAAGTCACTCTGTTAACATTATTGCCTTACATCTAACAAAATTAGTATCAAATTCTCTCCGGGAAATCCGATAACAGTTTCACTAGCTAACTACGAGGAAAGTTGCCAAAGAATGATCCATATCACCCAATGTCAGGAGAGGTTTTGAAAAATTCCCTACTGCTAAGACACAAATCATTTCTGTGGTAGAAAAAAAGCATGGACTCCATCACTAATTATCTGTTCTCCGTGTCATGTGACTCAGCTGAGATGAAACACCTCCACCTCATCAGGTGTGAATCTGTAAGACCCAGCAAGGATTGTTTTCCTGTTCTGTACTTCACTTGGTACGTGGTAGTGGTTGTTACTAAAGTCTGTGCGTGAATCAGTGTTACTGTTGGCATTATTGCTGATAAGGAATCCATTTCCTGAATCAAATACGGGACCATAACCTGAGCCCCTGTAAATTGCACGTTGTGGATCTTTCACCATGCTCTTGAATGGTACCAGTCCTTCTTTGTTGATGAGGGAAAATATAAAAGAGTTCAACGAGTAGCCGTATACGTTATTGGAATCTGAATACAAAGTAAAACAGTATCAAAAGGTATAGAAACATAAGGTAGATTAATTCTATAGAAATGGAGGCATAGACATTTTAAGGTGCTAAATGATTTAGGACAAGAGAATATGTTCATGAGTATAGGGTGATATTAAATGACGGAATGTTGAATTATAACAAAGTTCGGATATAACGAACGCTGTCATTGGTTGAAATAGCGTTCTCTATGAGAGTATAGAGCATAGAGCTGAGCTAAAGCTGTCACGCCATCTTCCAAATTGTAGTATGTCCTACTTTCACCGGGACTTTTCCCTAGTATTTTTTGTCTTTAATTGAAAGTGAAATTTTGGAACAGGCAAAAGGGAAAATTGCAATAGAAGAACCAAACAAAGGTTTGTAAACATGCCAGGCGCCGTAATTGACGTTATTATAACATGAGCAGAGACTAAAATCCTCAAAGAGTAAAAGAGTAAACGAAGGTTTTCAAACTCAGTTAGATTGCAAGCTTACTAAGCTCACTTTCAGCGTTTAAGAATTTTGCTACCTGCAGGAGTTAGCGGAAGTTATTAGGCTACAAAACAACGTCTAAACTTGTCGTGCATATAAAAGGATGGTGCCCAATGGCAAAATTAGGCGAAAACTCGCTCGTAATTGCTTCCAAATTTGCTATTAAAAGTCTGCCTAATATTTATGTGTTCTCACCCCAGGTAATATCGGTGTATCCTCCAAACACAAAAGAACTTTTCCTTATTATAGTAACAGTGTGTGGTTTTCCATCACAACGGCTGTGAAAAGTACTTGCTGCCCAGCCATGAGAGGAGGCGCGGTAACATAGCGTCCATTGTAAATGCCAACCAGGAACAGGATCCAAAAATCTTAGAAGACTCAGGATAATGTCATTCTTAGTGATTGTATTTGATGGTATTTTCAACCCTAGCGATTGTGGAAAGAAATAGAAGAAATTCCAAAAAAAGCTTAATTATAAAGAAACTTTTACTTTTTTAAAGTGTCACTGGAAATAAAATTATCTTCATTCAGAGAGCGAAGAGAAAAATAATTAAAAGAATAAAAGTTCAATAAGCATTAGGCTTTAACAGTGGTTGATCTGTTGTTCTGTCTCGCATTGTAATACAAAAGCTGTCAGAAAGATTTCTTCCTAAATCATTATTATTATAAGTAATATTATCATTATTATACTTCTTATTAATATTATTATCATCATCATTATTATTATCATTATTAGTAATGGTATTAAGGCTGAGTGGAGTGCAATTCGGTCTGTAATCATAGGAGTGATAACAAAATCAGACGAGCACGCAGCGGGAGTCCGATTTGCCTATCACGAGTATGATTACAGACCGAATTGGACGACACGAAGTCTTATCACTAATTAGTAATAAAAATTACTTTTTCCGAGCAAAGAAGAATAGCCTAGCTATGAAAGAAAGGGAAACTTTGTACTGGAAGACCGGCGAAGGTTGATTTAAACTACAACCTTTTATAAGATTGGTTGATTTAAACTACAACTTTGAATGTGATTGGTTTATTAAACTGTTCGATAACAACTTGGCAAGTGAATTAGTGGAAGATAAGAGTTTTTCATAGCCAATCGCAATCGAGGAAATAGTAATTTTTACGATTATTATCGTTATTAATGGAGACGATAGTCATTGTCGGGTCTACGCGCCCTACACCCATCTAGAGTAAGTTAATTGCGAATTCTCATTCATTGGTATGAAGTCGAAAGTTGTTAAACGATACAAACGTTTATCTTAAACTCTACCGAGCAGAATGCATCTGGGTTGATTTCCAGTCCAAGAGCCATTCTTTAAGCAACGACGGTCCAAGGATCCCTCCAGCCAGTAAGCAGGCCTGCAACTAAATGAAGCATGTTCTCCTTCCCAAAACTGCTGTCCGTGAATATATCCATGTTCTGGACTTTCCAAAGATTGGCAAATTCTACGACCTTTATGAAAAACAAACAAACAACCAAGCATGAAATGGCAACAAAAAAAACATCAACAATAGTAAGGGAAGTGTCAGTTGTTTGCTGGGGAACCAAAAAGACGCTAAAGCCTATTTTTCTTGTTTTTAGTATTCATGTTTCTAACAAATTTAAGTGATTCACAAAGTATCTTTAATACGTTCATTTGACAGTTAGCGGGTTGGGTTTTGGTCCTTGCAAATAAAATTTCTTTGCTCGTTTTACCTCAACACCCACATTGATGTGTCGATTTAAAAATCTTTCGTAAAGAAGGTCAAATACCTCGTGCTTAGGTATGAAAATAAAGCTAAATGCGGGACTCTTCTTGTGAAGAAAAACTAAGTATTTTCCGAAAGAATTGAAAAATATAAAAAAAAAAATATCATTTTTTATATCTGACGCCTTACTTACCCTCATAATGAAAAAGAAGGCTCGATTCACTCACCTTTAACGATACGGGGCTGGGGTAATCACAAACGCTCAATGTAATCATCGTGAAAGATGACTAATTATTTTAAAAGAAGGGTGCACATGCAAAAAGATTTGTTTCTTTTTCCTTGTTGTAGGAAAAGGAAGATCGAAAATGATTTTGATACGAGTGGAACCTAGAAACTTGAAATTATTAACGAGCTAAGAAAGACTCATGGAATCTGAAACGAGTAAGCTGAAACGATTAAATTGTGATCATCTGACAAAGATGCTGGTTACTATCGGGCCAAAATTTCGTTTCCCATGAGTTAAATTTGTTCAGCAAGATCAAGGAAACTTTTGTGAGGCCAGATCCACTTCAGTGTGCTGAGATATCTTCTGATGAGGTTTGGCCGGTTATACGAATACCCTGTTACCTGGCATTTTCCTCTGATCTTTTGCATCCAACCTTTACGGTTGACATCCTATAAGGGGTTTTTAGTGCCATCACTGTACTTACATGAGGGTTGTACCCCTGTCCAATTTCCAGAGGGTAAACACATCCTTGTTGCCGGACCTGTTAAGTGATATTCTGGATCGCAAACGAAGGACACAGATTCACCAGTCCAGTACCGTGAACCATGCCTGCGTCCGTTGGAAAGAACACCCGGATCGCCACAGTTGACGAGGGCTTAGATGTAGATACAAAAGAGTAATGATGATTAAACAAAAAGACAACAAAAATAAAAACAACAAAGAGGAAGAGTGAGAGAGAAGGAAAGGAAGAGAGAAATGAAGACTTGCAAATAGAGGATTCTAAATCTCTCTTTGAAATTGAAATAGACACATCTAAAATATACAAACAAAGTACTTAAATGCAGGCTGTCACACCACGCAGTAGTAAATGATTCCTTTTCAGTTTAATGTTCGATATTAAAACCGTCCTGGCTGAGGGAGGTCGTAGACTGGACCTTTCTAAAAATGTTTGTAATTTTGGAATGTTATAAAGTTTATTTCATAGCCCTTCTTCCATAAAAATCACTGACAATACGGGTTGCCAGCTAGTGTGGTCGCATTTGCGATAAGCATTTTCTGGTAAATGGCTAAATAACGGCTTCAGGTTTAGACAATAAGACAGTACAACCATTTAGTAAGGTAATTATAGCAAATGAAATCCAACATACTCAGACTTGTGTTGGACTCTGCTGTCATATTCTTGCCGTTATAAAATAGACATGTGTAGATCCCCGAGTCACTAGGCTTGAAGCGATGAATAACCATTTCACTCTTTATCAATCCATTCTCGTCATTTACGGCTCTTGAGAAAACACGTCGACCATTTTTGAACCACGCGACTTTAGGTAAAGGCGAGCCACTAGCTGAACAGTTTAAATTTATGGTATCGCCAACATGCTGGACTTTGATTTCACTGGGAGAACTTGACACAATATAAGGATCCACTTACGAGACAGAGAAACAAAGTAATCAGCGCAATTTTTTAGATTGAAATTTTATGGACACTGTTGTTTTACTCAAGGTTGTTGATCAGTTTGTTTGTTTTTCAAATCCATACTTACCAACAGCTTTAACAAAGACCCATATCACTCTCATAACATTTGCCATTTGGTTAGTTCCCTGGCAAACGTAAGCGCCATCATCGTCCTCCGTTGTGTTTTGAATCGTAAGTTGGGAACCGTTCATAAAATGTCTGTTGATTGAAAGCTGCTCGCCTGATCTTGTCCATGTTATCACAGGAGGAGGGTAACCAAAGATGTCACATTGGAGCACGGTGTCCCATGTCTTGTAAGCAGTTACGGAACGCTTAGGTTCGGTAATAAATTTTGCTGGCACTACCAAAAGAATATTACAACATACATAGTAGACCAAGTTCAAACTTAGACAAAAAGCAAGGTAATACTACTATTTATGGTACGAGGACATCCTAATAGTGTTCAGCAATATATAGATTTGCAACAGTGATAAAGTTTTGACGAGACTATCGATTGAAATTTATAAGGCGACCTTCTATGCACAATTTACGCTTGCCCTGGATGCAAAATGAACGATAAATTCAAATAGTTTTGTTGCAAGGCGCGCGTGACTGATTGCTGTGCAGAGAACATTAGGCTTGCTTTCTAACCAGCAAATAACGAGCAAATAAATAGGATCTGGACCTTTTAAAATGCAAAATGAACATTCTGGATAACTTCGAATAGTAACATTAGATACTTAATGAGGGAAAAATATGAAATTGAATGCCAAGTTTTGCGTTATAAAGACAGCAGGAGACTTCAACTCTCTTGGACAGACCTTTCACGCTGACATTGACGGATAACTCTGCTCTGCCCATAAGATTTTCCGCTGTACAGGTGTAGACACCACGGTCCTGGAATTGAATTTTCTTTAATTTTAGACTTCTTTCTCCAAAGTACTTCTTCTCCTTTTCCATTGGGTGTCCATTTTTGTACCACGTGATCACAGGTTGTGGGAAGCCATTTGCTTTACAAGGTATTAGAACATTAAGTGTCTCTTTCACTGTTATGGTGGGGGAAGGCTTTGAAATGAAGTGTGGCAATTCTGAAAAAAAGGGGTCAATCGAGTTAGGAAAAAAATTAGGAAAACAATAACAACAACAAAAACAACCATTAATAGGTATTCATTGCACGACTTACCTAACTGACCTCCACCGCTATGATTTCTTCTCCGTTGTGCTGATTTCCCAAGGGGCCCTGATGGTCCTCTTATGCCGCGCTTTCCCTGGGGACCTGGCACACCTTTTGGTCCCTTTCTTCCCCTTTTACAGCTCGATCCAGGAGGGCCCTGGCGACCAGTGCGGCCAGGTATACCGGGAGGACCTGGTGGGCCTTGAGGTCCTACAAAACGAAATGAAAATTGATGAATAAACTGATGTAAAAATACAATAAATTTTGTATGAGAAAGTCGAAAAAAATTGCATCCAACTAAACAACAGAGAGGATACTTCTTTTGTGGTACGATTTTGCGGCTCATTACATTTCTATAATATTTAGTTTGGTACAGCAACGTACAGTTTAAGTTAATATATCACTGAAACTATTACTATTGAAACTAGCGATATCACTGGGTGGTATTGTGTGCGGAAGATTGACGTTACTTGATTTCGTGTTTCAGTGCAAGACACATTCTTTGGGTCCTATTTCCTTAGCCATTTGAAGGAAACGAGAAAGAGTAGTTACCATGGTTATCGTAATGTTCTTATACGCAGTTTCATAAAGCACGACTTTTGTTTAGTGTTAGAAGCATACAACCTAGTGACATGCTTCTGTTGGTATTAATAATGGTTGAGATCTATTGAGTGTTTTGAAGAGTTTTTTATGCCATTCCGGTGTATTTTTTTCTACTCTTTGAACTGCGTTACTAAGTATTGGTGGTCGAAAAACCTCTTACCCTCAACGCAAACAACATTTCCCTGACTTCTCTCCAAGGTCGAATTCTATGGATTGAAGAAAAAAAAAGGAGACAAATTAATTCAATCGATCGCTACCCGGAGACATTTAACCGATAGGCGTAGATTCTTAACAACGATTAACCCCGATAAGTTTGAAAAAACAGTTAACCCTGAAAGTAAACCTTAATGAAAAGAAATTAATTGTTAGTCCTAAGTGACCAAAACTTCAACCGTTAGCCGTAAGAGCCATACCCCATTGAGACCCTCCGATAAAACACTGTATCAGAAAAAAAATAGTATTGAATATAACAAATAATTATAAGTCAAACGAAAAAATAAAGGAAAGCAGTGAGGAATGAGACATTGAGGAAGTTACCGGGATTTGATGGATATTGGAGCGTCTTCCGTTGTCGATAAAACGAGTCATCAATTACGTGTTTTTGTCTAATTTGTCAACTGTTAAAAATTTTGGATAACACGGCGATTAAGTATATTTTTACAGTGAAAGCTCTCTTTAGAGGTATTTTTTCTCTTAAATCCGGTCACAAAATTTGGTAGGTCGTTCAAAAGATTAATAAAAGGGTCTAATGGCATTTGTAAAAAAGGGAAGGATAAAAAAGTGAAACTTACTCCTCGCTGACCATTCAAATTCACGCAAACACTGCGACATTTGCTGCACATGGATGTTCGTTCAACAGCTCTTTGGACGCGAGCAGTTATTTTCTCCAGTGATCCACTTGGACGAGAATGAGCAGATGTTGGCGCAACAGAAAAAGGATTGGAAATCGGGTACGGAGAGCTTTTAAGCAGTGAATTTCGCTCAAGTGTTGTCAAACGCGAATCTAATCGATGCAGGGAATAACAAGTGAAACCGAATGAGACTAGCGTCAGAATTAAGTCGACTGAAAGGCCAAACATAAGAACGTGCGAACTCTTATTTGCCTTGGACTCCATCCTCAGTCGGCGCCTTCCCTCAGCAACAGCCTGGATGATGGCTAACGCTGAATGGCAAACTGATAGATAACTGTTTTGTTTTAGTGCCAGGAGCGAAACCCAATAGAATAAAGAAACTATATTTATATGACATGTATTATCAACTTTCGTACTCGTTTCAGTTTGAGCGTTTATTTCCGTTCTATTATGTCGTGCAAATGGGCAAAATAAACAGATTGCATGTAAAATTTGACGTTATTGTCTGCTTAGATTTATGGCCTCCTAAAAGAGACGAAGGTCATTTTCGTCTTCCTTTAAACAAGTCAAGTGATTTTGGAGTCAAACAAGCAAATCGTTGTTTGACCACTTCACTCTGTTAACGCGTGATGTCATGCACTTGAGTTTGCGCTTGACTCTGTTAACGCGTGATATGTCACGCACTTGAGTTTGCAACCTCATGTACTAGAATAAGAGGATGTGACCACTTCACTCTGTTAACGCGTGACATGTCACGCACTTGAGTTGGCAACCTCGTGTATTAGCATAAGAGGCTCTGTTAACGCGTGAGATGTCACGCACTTAAGTTTGCAACCTCGTGTACTAGCATAAAAGGATGTGTAAGAAGAACGGGTCCGCATGCGTACTTTGAAGGTTGATAACTTTGTGTGAATCTTGCGATGTTTTCGTGTACTCAAGAAACAAATTCTAGTGGTGTAAGAGGTTCCCCTTGGAACCTCTTTTTTAAAAACAGGAAAGTAACAGCAAAGTAATAAGCAGAGAATGAAATAACGCTGAATAAAGGGAACCCTAAATTGATAGGTGCTATTTGTATTTCAACCTTCTTTACTTCGCACGTATAATTTTATTTGTAACTCTTTAACTTGACACTAAATTATATTTTCTCACGAAACATTGAAGAGGCCATCGACTACGATTTAGCTGTAACTATATTAACGATTTAATAAACCATTTAGCTTTTACGACTGGACTTCGCGCAAAGTTTGTTGATTATTCAAAATTCCGGTCAACATCCGCTCTGCGGATAGCATCAGCTTTCAAAACATGATGCGCACACTATGATTAGCAGTTTTTCACACAAAACCGAAAAAAAAAACTTCAAAGTTCTCCTTCTGTGTGTGACGCTTGAGGAAATCTTGAGTTTTTCTCGAAATTGAAGAAATGACACTAAAGTAAGGTGACCCGTGTTATTAAATTTCCTACTTGTTTCAGTTTGAGTGTTTATTTCCGTTCTACCAAATCGTGCAAATGAGTAAGTTAGGCAGATTGTATGACGAAGTTTGTTGATATTTTGAAATATTTATGTACTCTTTAAAGAAAAGAGGGGTTAATTTCTTCAAACGTTAAGTGATGTTAGAGTCAAATAAGCAAATAAATGTGACTACTTCACGCATGTAGTGCGTGATATGTCACACACTCCAGTTTACAATTTGGTGTACAAGCATAAAAGGATGTTATAAGGAGAACAAGTCAGCTTCCGTATAGTGAAGCACGAAAGCTTTGCATGACTTAAACTTTACGGTTTACAATGTATTCGTGTTCTCGACAAACAAATTTTAGCGTCAAAAGATTGCTAAAATCTTTGCTACGAACAACTCTTTTTCTCGAAAGGGAAACTAATAGCCAAGGTATCGTTAAGAAGCAAATAATGTGCAAAGAATGAAATAACATTGGGTAAAAGAAAACCTTACTTGTATTTCAATTTTATTTACCACGAACTTATAATTTAATTCTAAAGTTTTTAGATGCGTAATTATTTACAGCCACATTATATTTCCTAGTTAAAACTCTTTACCAAGACACTAAATTATGTTTTCTCACTGAACATTGTTGAGGCCAGAGACTACGTTCAGCTGTAACTGCATTGACGATTTGTTAAAACATTTAGCATTTACGACTGAACTTTGCGCAAAGTTTACTGATTTTTCCCACTGCAATCAACTTCCCTTCAGCAAATTGCGTCAGCTTTGAAAACATGATACGCCAGATGGTACTCCACCAAAACACACTCCTCTGACGCGTTTTGGAGGCTGTCAAAGTTGTTTACAATAAGCCAATAAACTGGCGAGAGGCATGTCATTATGATCACGACAAGATCACGCCTGCGTCAAGATAATGAATCAAGAGCTAAAGAGAATACCCTTTTGATCACAAAATAAACCTGGTCGCTGGAACGTAGTATCCTTTTCCCACCACTTAGCCAATTAAATTTTACTTATGATATATATTAAGGAGTAATTTGTAAGAGGTGGAAGAATTTTGTGATGCTATTTACTCACGAATGAAATAAGAAGATATTGCTCGATAATCCTTAAATGCTGATTGGCTTGGATGAAACATATAAACGAATGGGAGAGCATAATCAGAAAGGTCACCCATGCTGTTTTCACGAAGCCTCCACAAAATTTGAAAAAAAATTTTCTGTACAGGTCTTGGAACCCTATCATAAATTAAAGACCTCTTCTTTCGCGTAGTACTAAATCAATATAACGTCACTCATCCAACTGGTTTTCAACTCACGTAAACAGCTTTATATGATCGTTTGGTTTAATCAGCTGAGTTGATAATACAAACTGACCAGCGTAAAGAGTTTCTTACGCTGATGTTTCGATAAAACCAAATTACTTTGCTCTACTCTCCCATCGGCGCAGCACCACACTTTCTTTAGAAACTTACCCCTTCCCTTTAAACAGCTTTACACCCGGCGCTTATTATTGTTCACACATAACCGAGTGGCAAACGTTTCATAGAATGAAACATTCCAAGAAGTAAATTCAAGAAAGTAAATAATAACGTACGGGAGAAAGACGTTACTATCTGTCATGAGAAACTACAAAAAATTGAATTATTTGATTGCATTAAAAAATCTCTAATTCTAAGCAACCACGCACTCATTCTCATGTGGAAGATGACTGACTCGCTTGGCGACAACTCGTGAAAAATATGTCATGGTTCCAAACCGTCCACTTGGAGCAGTGTCGTAGAAATATCGACAGATGCCTGCTGCTCCACCACAACTGATTTTTTCATGAGGAAGACGAGCGCAACACATAGTGGAATCACCTTTGATGTTCATCTGAAATAGCACGAAATGCCGAGAAAATGGATTTTAAGCACATAAATTTGGATGTAATAATGGTATAGATAAGTTTAGTATTCCCACGCCAGCTCTTGCTCCGACCCTTTAACCAACACTAAATGTGATTTGGTCCCTAGGTCTTCGGCGCAGGCCGCTTTGTATAAGTCGCCAATATTCTTATTGGCTCCTTCTGACTCGTTGTGTGTTGGTTCTGCAACAATCACTCCAAAATAAGCTCCCGTGCTTAATATATAAACGATGATTTTCCACTTATCTATCTTGGTGTTGGGCTTTTATTTTGAAACTCGATCAGTACCAATCCAGATTCAACTAAATTTATTTTGCAGTAAAACCACCTTTAGTTTCTCAACGAAAAACCCCACTCTCCAGGATCATAAGTGACTGTCACGAGTAATCTGTGTTTTCTACCATAAAAAATGTTCGGGTTTTAGCATGCAGAAAAGTTACTACTCGCACTGCCTTCATGTAACTTCATCTCATCATTAGAAAAAAGACAAAAAAAAAAAAAAACAGTCCTCAGTTTTGTAATTGTCATAAATATCTACCGAGGCTATTTTTGACGTTGAACGTAAGAATTTCCTAAACATTGCCTCAGTCTCCGCGACATTCAGGTCCTTAAAAAAATGATCTTCCTAACCCCTTTTCTTAAACACGCATAGCAGTCAGGCTTATTTAATACTGTGAACGAAGAACACTTCGAAAAGAAAACGAAAAAGATTGTCCTACACCCACCTGATCTTTAAGATACAAACTGTGGCCCTCGAAAACAAGTTCGTCAACGTCAATAGTGTCTCCAAGGGTCTGTTCTGGATGATATTCAACCACAAGAGACAGCACCATCAACATTTCCACCACAAGTTGGCGATATTCCGGCTCTGGAATGCGATTCAGGGCAGCTTCCACACACAACGCAAACTTCAATTCTCCTGGAGTCATCTGGAAACAGAAAAGCATTGTGCGACCGAAACTGTTAAGAGAGGACTAATGATGGTTACTGCGTTAAGAAATGCTGTGATCACAATAAGCTTGACATTGACCAGGAGCAGATTTGACATATTATCTTGCCATTTGTTTCGGCGAGGAAATTTTGGTTTGTCTGACTGATGCATAACATTATCAGATTTTCCTCGCAATCCAAAAGCTCTGGATACAGCATTACATTTTGCTTTGGAGGAAAGACAAACCAGAACAAAACTAATTATGTCAGAAAAGGCCGGGAAGAACTCTCAGTAACTTAACGTTATCGCCATCGCCAGAAATATGCGAGTGGCCATGTCGCCATTGGATAATAATTGCATCGTAACTGATAGAGTAGGGTGCATAAGCCTGTTAAGCCAGTCAAAAATCGCAGTAAAGCTTAAAATTAAAGAAATAATACTAGAAAATGGGATTCAACCGAAGGCATACCTCTAAGACCATGGTGTTCGGTAGATAATGCTTGTAAATGGTCATACCTCGACACTAGAGGAATTAAAAAAAAAGCAAAAAAATAACAACAGGTCGCTCAAATGGCTGAAAAACATCGCAAATATGAAAATGTTTTAAATTTGGAGTTTGAAATTTGCAAGTTATCATACCTTTTCGAGAACTTTCCAGAATTTGGGGTAAAAATCCTCAGGGGCTCGGTTAAGAGCTCCATCAAGGCACCTACGCCTGATCCACTGCCCAAGGCGGTCCTGAGGGTCCTCGTCCTCGTCATCTTTATCTTTCTGTGGTCCCAGCTTATCCTGATCAGGTGATGGTAGCAATCCTCTACCGCTCATATGCTTTAAATCCGAAAACAAATATAGTTGTTATTAATGTTGTTATTGTGTTAGACTTTTTTTTAACAATTTCTCGCGCAGTGTTGGCAGGTCCAAAATGATACTTCAGTTAATCTAAGTTTTCGTTATATTTCGAACTGGTTATGAACGTACCACGTCATGGATGGAAAATCAAAGTTATCACCTTTCTAGACAAATAAGAGACTGACAAATTTCATATGTGTTCAATCGTTATTCCGTCTCTTTACACATTCTTTGGTTTTATCAACTGAGTTGCTAATATAAACTTAACGTTTCGAGAATTAGCCCTTCGTCATTCGCTCTGATGGAGGACTAACGTTCAACACGTCTGCTTTTGAGCCTTTTTATGGTGGCTAATTGGCATTATCAACTCAATTGATAAAACCGAATCATCTCATACCCCCCCCCTCCCTACAGACAGGGCACCACAGTTTCTTTCTTAAAATTTACCCCTTTACACATTACACACAGTAAGTAACTACAAAACCATGCAAAACAATGGCGCAAGACGGCGCGAGGTAACGTGGTTCAAAAGATAACAGCCATAAAAAAGACAAGCCACGTGGGATTGAGAAGAGATGAACGCTATTTAACATCTCAGTTAATTCAATTTAAGTTTATTTTGTGTTATTGCATTAATATCTATTTTCCCCTTGGATAGCAAACACAGAATTAGAGCATTAATGCCTTTGCATCATAGCGTTAGCTTTAATGCAATTTCACTTATGGTTGCAGTCAAGGTTTCTTAGAGAGAAAGTTATAACAGCTTGCAGAGAATTGCAATTTACGATTCAGTAGAAAAGGAACCACGGAAATGCTTGACAGTTTCCTGACTTAAAGAATTTCTCCCGTCCATCCTGCTGTGGGAGGAAAAAGCACTTAACTGAGGAACTCAAACTATCGAAAAAAGCTTGGTTTGGAATGCAATGAGTTTCACACATGAAAAAAGTAAATGAATAACCGTAAATAAACAAAACGTAAAAAAACAACCACAAAAAAAAAAAGAAAAGAAAAGATCAAAGCACCAAAAAGAACTAACTGGATGTTCATCATCGTCGACTCCATCACAAACTTCCTCACTTTCTTGCAATTAGTCCTCGCAGCTCACACGAGAGTTTAACTAGAGTTCTACTCTACGCTGGAAATCAAATATTTCACTTGCTCTCCATAAGCCTTTTTAAAATTTCTGTTAGTCATTACAGTGCAAGATGAGAGGAAGTTATTTGTTAGCAGTATTGTTGATGTTCATCAGGCTTCCTTTACAGCGAAGATCTCGTGAGTAAAGCAGAAAGCTGAGCCAAAAAAATTCATTTCTGAATCGATGTCATTTCCCTTCACCCTTATAACATTAGAAGAACTGAAATCATTTGTTAACATACCATATGTTTCCCCGCAAACATTTTAATACAGCTTATTTTCTGTTGATAAATATGAAAACGTGCTGTTAAGCCGTACAGATATGCAGAAAGATGGTGCAACCAGGAAACTTCCAAGACGAGCTTTGATAAAAACACCCTTTGCTTATTGACAATAAACCAAAAGCCAAACAATTTTGCCTAGCGTAACCTGGATTAAGATTCTTCAGCACGAAAAAAAAAAGGAACAAAAAGTAGAACAAACAAACAAACTAAAAGAAATAGAAAATAAACAACCAATCCAGACAAAACAAACAAAACGAAACTTAACAAACCAAAGCAAAAAGAGAAAAATTTAAATAATAGACGACTCCTTCACTTTCGCATCACTCATTATCGCACCGCCTAAGGTATAGGTTGGAGCTAGCCAACATGAACGCATTGTGCAAAGAAAATCTAATGTGCGCGCCATTTATCCTGTTTGAAAAGCAACCCCTTTTCTTGTAAAGATGAATGTGATAATTCCCACCTCAATATTTACAGCAGCGAAGAGCGCCCGATTAAAACTATTCTTTCCGTGGTCCTATTTTTGAAGAAGGTATTGCCGACCGAAAGTGCATCCAATTTATTAAAGAAAACTGAACAGCAACCATACCTGGATAAGAGATAGTTTTGCCGGAGATTTTTTCCAGCGACAATAACAAGGAAATATTTTTTTCCGGGTTTGGTGGTGATCCACTGATAACAAGATATCCCAACCAGTTCTGCTAGTTTTATTAACTTGCAGAACTGGTTATCTCTCAGCTGACCGGTTATCAATTGGTAGAGACAAACATTGCAGCTAAAGGGTATACTCTTTAAAGAGCACCGAATTCCTTCCACAAATCCGTTCACGAATGAAGAAATGTAAAGTGGTTTCCGTGTTTACATAGCCTGATGTAAACACACGGGAAGTTGAGAGAACACGAGATAAGCGTAGGAAACCACGACGCGAGGCAGAGTGGTTTCCAGCTTATCGAGTGTTCTCCCAACCTCCCAAGTGTTTACATCAGGCTATGTAAACACGAAAACCATTTTACATTTTTTTTTATAAAATAACTAATGAAAGAGGAACGAAAACCGTGTTTACATACGCTCATGTAAAATGGTTTTATGGCCAATCAAAGTGCGCGTACCATTTCAATTATTTTATAATGTAATTTTCACCACAATTGGCAGTAATGTCACAATCTCATTGGCCAATTTGCCGTTGTCGAATACAGACAACACTGACCACTGTGAGGATGAATATCTTTGTCGATAAGAGTACTGACCGCGCTAAACCACTGTCGATTTGTCAAGTAGCTAAAGGGAAGAATAGAGTAAGATATTACAAAGTCAAAATGATTAATAAATTCTCTCACTTTCTAAATGAAGACTGACCTTAATAGCACTAGAAAGTTTTCGGATCCCAACCCTCTTCGGAAGGTCGACGTTTACGATGGAGATCTGTTTCTCTGGTGTGCTCTTGTTGTCATAGGACAAATCTACAAAATAATTAAAATAATAAAAAAAGAAATAAAAAAAAACAAGGAAAGAAACACATATATAAGATTATTAGACAAAAAGGAAAGAGGTGTACACTGTATTAGTATTTTATCGCTATTCGAAATTGGTTAATATTTGATTACAAAATCAGCAGTTATTTCAAGCTAATTCATTTTTTCTGTTTCCTCAGAAATAATTCTCTGAGCATTCTTCTGGAGTTTTCATGATTCCAGGACTAAAAATTTAATCGAGATTGTAAAATCCCACGACTACTCAGGTTTTCCATGATCCACACAAACCCTGAGACTAAAACAAGAAATTAAACTTACCACTTGAAACGACCAACTCCTTTCCGCTAAGAATATGATACAGGAGAGTTTTCATCTCAAAAGGGCTCAAGTTCATGAAAAACTCAGCGGCATCTTCACCTGGAAGGCGCGTATGGCTGTATGTTAGAACGCGACATGTTATATTCAGAGTGACTAGTTGTCGTTGTTTGGTTGTTGCTGTGTTTTTTGTTTTTTCTTTCAGTTTTACTGTCGTAACGTCTGCCGGTTGTTACCGAACAAACGCAAAACTGTTGAAGCCTTGTAAAACAATTGTAGATTAGCCTGCGAGGAGTTGTGAAAATGTAAGGCACAAACTGTCGCAAAACGGGCAGCTACGCAGGTTGAAAAAAAAAATTGGAAAAGCTGTGCTTCGAGTAAACAGACGGAAAAAAAAAAAAAAACAGGAAAGTACATTGTTGGCGTTAAATCAAGTTCTCGATAACGAGTGGCAAAGGTTAGACACACAAATAGACTCAATTTCGCACGAGGTGTCATTTGTCGTAAACGGAAGTTCGCCCGAACATCAAGAAGTTCAGCTGCACTGGGGGAGAACCGTCCGTAGTTCGAAAAAAAGAAGATATAAATACACAAACAGACAAAAACTCTTTTAGTTTCTGACCGGAACAATCCATGGATCTCGCCAACTCAGCCACCATAACTTCTATTATCAGGCCGACTCGAAGCCTAAGCATCTCTTTGAATAGAGACGGTTCAGTCCTTACAAAGATCCCAAGATAAACTAACAGTTCCTGGTGATAAAGAAGAATATTACTGTTTCGACCAAAACTGAACAAGGACGATTTTACATGGGATGAAGAACAAAACAAAGCTGAAGTGACAACCCAAACGGAATAAAAAATTGTCGAGGGGGAGAAAATACTGAACCGACGGTTTACAAACGGTAAAGATTAAAAAATCCTACTCTCTATGCTATTATCATCGTAATCATAACCATCACAATTCTCTCAAATGTATTGGTACATCAGCTGCTTTATATTTCACAAATCACCCTGTACAGTTGTAATCAGACAGTTGGCTGTAATCGGAAACCTGTAATCGGACAGTTGAAGCAGCCAATCATACTAAGTTCACTCAGCTAAATCCACCAATCACAGAATCGATCACAATAACCATAGCAACAACCTGAAAAGTAAACTGAGAAATTTCCAAGTTTTTTGCTTTAGACATTGTCTCTACTGGAGATGTTTCTCCTCAATTTTTTTTTTTTCAAAAATTGTAATGGTTATGATTAATTGGTAACAGGACTTCGTGTCGTCCAATTCGGTCTGTAATCACACTTGTGATTGACAAATCGGACTCCCGCTTCGCGGTCGTCTGATTTTGTAAATCCCTCGTATGATTACAGACCGAATTGGACTCCACTCGGTCCTATTAGTATTATTCATTATTACTATCACTAATGCTAAAATTAGCTGTATTTTAATACTTTCTTCATTACTTTTTCTAGTACTTCTGCTGTTACTGGTTTGCGTACAAATTTTAGGAATTTTACCTGAGTGACAACACCAGTGCTCATATCTTCACCAAAAACGTTGAAAATTATATTTTTCATGTCCTCTTGCGGAAGAGGTCTGCCGCGAAAAAAAAATTGAATAATTATATCAGTGTAGTAAAAACCTTATCAATATAGTGATAGAGAAGACACCACCGAAGAAAGGTTCTTTCTTTACAAGTCAATTCACAAAAGCACATTTTGAAGTCGAGTTTGTTTTTATTCTTGTTTTGTTCTTTTTTGCATCAAACGGTTTGAAAACTAATGAAACAAACGCACTACGACAACATCGTCGAGATTCACCTTGTTATGACCTCTTCGTGTCCACCCTGAGGAATCCCCACAGTCAGCTGCTTCTGGTGCACTAAAAGATCTGTGGCAGCCTGGTGAAGAGAAGAGGAAAACATCATCACAACTTTATACTTTACAACAAAAGGGCTGAAATCGATATATAGGCGATTAACTCAGACCAATGAAGTACGGCCATGCATTAAAAGAGTGAAAAGATCCAAGAGGCGGATGCAACAAGATTGGGAGAGGTCTTGGAATGATAGGCATATGAATGATAACCCCTTCTGGAATCCAAAGTTGGGTCACAATGTCTTATGTCACAGTATACCTTGGCTGTTTGAATATTTTTAGAATAAACAGCAACAACAAAAAAAGATGAACGGTAAACAATAACAACAGCAACAACGAACACAAAATTTGAGCTTGTCGTGAAAACGGAGGTTATTAAAGATAAACAATATACCTCGGCTAGATCCTCCACTCGTTTTCTCAACAGCCCAGCGGTGTGACGCACTAAGGACCATAGCTTACTTTGACAAGCCTTGAAATCAAACGCAACAAAATGACAGTTTCAACTGGTAATGTGGATAAAAAAGCATAACAGGAAAACGTTGGGTAAATGTGTAAGACTGTTTCTTGAGGATACAGTATCAGTTTTCTTTGACTTAATCTTTGACGCAAGTCCGTGTTTGAAACATTTAACGGCTAACTCCGTAACTTAAATAGTACTTCTAAGATGAATTAGTTTACCTTTTCGTAAAGCTCTCCGAGGAGTTTTTGGACTGTAACTCCTGGTTCACCAAAAAGTTGAGTATCAAAGTCTGGACCCCTAGTGAAACAAAGTAAATAGAGCCACACTGTTCTGTGAATTATTTCCACGGTTCACAGAGAAGCAATAATAATCCTAAGGCGAACGCACGTTTAACATCTTGTGAAAAAAAAAAAGCCAAACAACAAATAAAACTCACAAACATGCGAAAAAACATAAACAAACAGCAGGAATACTATCAAGGAACAAAGTAGTTCGAACCAGTTCTTCGACGCATACTATCACAAAAGACTTCTAACATCTACAAATCGTATTTATTTGAAGTTAACGATAAAATTAATCTCCCTCCAAAACAGAAGGTAAAAGTTCAAAAAACTTAACACTCCTCTGGTTGGAAAACCAATACCAGCCCCAGTTACGTATCTCATATTCTAATATCATTCATAATATTACATGTACTCTACTGTATATACCTAGTTTGTAAAGGTAGTAAGTTGGGTTAGGATTAGAGGAAATGTTATCGGGGTTGGGTTGGCGGCAGACCTCGTAGGGGGACCCAAATCCTATTGTTTATTCGCCTAGTAGCTTGTACCTTGTACTGCACTAAATACTAGAAGAAACAAATGAATAAAGCGAGAAGCCCTTGATTTGTTATATTGGTATTTTGTGTTGGATGAAAAGTTCTTGTTGTGTTGGTTGGAGAAATTCTATTCTCTAAGGTTAGGTACTTCGAGAAAATTTAACATACACAGGACTCTGTACCTTGTATTATACAAAAAATGTAGTATGTCAGCTTGGGCATCAATTGTCTCTGCTTCTTTGAGTTGCAACAGCAATTCTTCCAACTCCACGTCAGTGGACATGGCACGTGACCTGGCTGGTGTCCAACCATTAGCTGCGCGATCTTCAAATGCTTCACATCCGGGAACTTGATTTGAGAAAGGCAGAGAAAATGGCATAAATAATATCAAGGACACCTTAAACATGTAGAAGATAACCAACAGATTTAGAGGCAGTTTTCGTACGCAATTCACTTTTTCATCATTATTTGCAAATCTTCGCTATTATATTTTTTTCCTTCAGGAAAGCGTGAATGGCTTGCGTCATTCACTACGTGCAAGTTACTGTGGTTATCATGTACATCATTACCCATTCCGACATCGGCTTTCATCGTTCATGGTTATTGCTTCTAAATGTGAACCTCTCTGCAATCACCAGAGTAAACACAAAGTTTTCTTGGGTCTATATGTGACTCGTTTGACGAAGTAAAACTGAAAATATTGGTGCAGCTTTCCAAAATACCTTGAAACTCGACAGCTTTAATGCACTTTGAGTAAAGCTGACAGAGGGAGATTTCAACCGCAGTATACGGTTATCTGTTAAATGCATATTAAAGCCTTATCAGCATTTTATATATAAGCAATTCAAGTTAACAATTATTTTTCTTCATAGCATGCTCTTATTTCTTGAAATGAGCGCGTAAATATGTAATGACTGAATTGTATTCTGTTATCTTTAAGATGTTATTGCATGTTGCTAAAAAAGGTATCATACCGTTAACTATTTCATGCACATCAGGGCGTGAAATTAACTTTTTTTTCTGATAGCCACTTGGCTCCTAAATTCTTCAAAGTGGTAGCCAATTCAAAAAAAGTTGGTCGCCATTTTCAAAGACAAACAAAATCTTTCTTTACGCTGTCAGCGTTCTAGATAGACCCTCCAAAATTAAGTTAGGGAAAAGATCTTTAACGTGCTACAAAGTGGACACTAGGATGTATGATATACAACGTTCAGGCTCATCTAAATCCAAGATGGCGTCTAGTTATCGATCGAGATGCATGTGCTACGTTTTGGAAACAAACTTAACGAGGAAGTTTGCCGCGGATTTATCTTTGCAAATTTATTTAATTCACTATATCTCTTAGTAAGGTTATGGTGAAACGTTGTAGTCGCCAATTTGGCGACTTACTTTCAGGATTTGGTCGCCAAAGTGAAAAATTTAGTCGCATTGGCGCCTGTATTAGGCGCAATTTCACGCCCTGCACATAGGCACTTTCAAAGTGTTAGGTTTGTCACTTCTTCAGTTGTTGCTAAGTTAATTTTTAAGGTGAAATTTATCACTATATTATCCTTTCATTTTAAATTAAAAGATGAACTTCACTCAGGAACAGATTATAGGGTAACAATTAGGTCACTATAAATATAATTGTTGAGAATGTTAGGAAGAAAAAAGCTCTGGTCGCAACTTTTCTCTGTACCAGAGAGCTATGGTTAAATGGACGTAAACTCTACAGGGAGGTCAGTACAAGCCAAGTTACTTGCCAGTTAGAAGAGCTTTTCCTACAAGCTACATCAAAGAGGTAATGTGCAACTGCTCATTGTGTGATATAACACTACACGTTTTTTTCTTTAGCTTGAATGCTTAAATTATTTTTTTACTAGTCTATCGCTGGTGGAGCTATGTAACGACTGTGACGATATTCTTTTACTGAAATAAGAAAATTTACCTCTAATGGTGGTTTCAAAAAGTGTGAGCTTAAAAAACGATAAAAGCCTTTGAACTTGCTTCTCTATTCAGAGTCCCTCATGATTCCTTACCGTGCAAAAATAAATAACAAGTTCTATTCACAACACTGACAACAGAGGATCAAACATAAAGATTGCTACACAAAACGTAGTAAAACAAACAAACAAACAGACAGACAAACAAAGTAACAAACTAAACAAAATAATATAAAAGGAGGAAAACTGAAACAGGAAACGTATAGCCCTCTTAGTACCTGAATCGGTACCCCAGGTAGGCAGTGATGGGCCACAGTCCTCATCAGTGTCAGGTGAAGGCGACTGAGGTGACTTCCAAGTCGCTGAAACTCACGTGACAAGTGCATGTTAGTGGAGTGCGTGACACATGACGGAAAGATTGATCAAAGGACGACCACGTGAAAGAGGTTTCCTAAAGTATGCCGGGAGTGTACAGTACTATGTTGGTGGATGATAAGGCAGATTGAAACTTAACATGAAGATTAATTAATCGGATTCCATTCTAAGACATTCTTTTCACGTCAAAATATAGCGGGGTTGGTAACTTCTAACACAAAATTTTCATTACTTAACTTGACGTACCCCGGACTTTCTGGTGTTTCCCCCAACCAACGGCAAAAGACTGCCTCAAAATAAAGAGCAAATGAATATTCGACCACATTAAGCCTGGTTGTTCCATTCATTTCCGCAGACACGCTTTTAGCTATACCTTTTTTCCCTTGCGATTACTTTTTCCGTTATTTTTCTAATTTAAAGAAGAAAGTATAGGCCACTTTGCTCGTTCTAGAGCAAGAGATCATCGTAGCTGTTTACTTCGTACATTGTTATGAAAAAAAAAAACAGACAAACAAGCTTGACAAAAATTGGCCACGTTCTCGGAATTTGCGCTTGCTTATTCGCCTAAACGTACAATGTTATTTGCAGTGTAATACTATGGAGTCACTTTAAGTCGCAGGAATATTATCTGATAAACATACATGCACTCACGTAAGTTAAGTAAAATTTAACTCAACAGAAAAGTAAACGATAACACCGTGAACAAAGTCACAGACATTGCTGTATCGCTTACGCGTTTAAATGGTTAGATTTATTGTAGAATTACCCGACGTCTGAGTTGTATGCGTTCATAATTTAACATAAATGCGTTGCTCAAAGCCACGTACAAGACTAACAGCACAAAGAAGTTAATGTTTACACCAGAAGTAGACTCACAGATGTTGCTTCTAAAGGATATCTACTTAAATAATCAGCTAGTTATATAAAAATTAGGTGACGCACTAAAAAATAGTGCGCAAAATATTTTGAACAATGGAAGGAGTATTTCTTCATAGGAAACAAATCTGACCAAGGCTAAGCATGAGAACATTAGAGGGCTTTTTGTTCGATTGTCATGAAAATAAACTCTATTGTAATTATTACGGCCAATCGAAAAAAAAAAAAGAAAATTTCCTGAGCCAAATTAACTCCGAGTGCCCACATTTTGCCGGCTCTGGCGCGGTATAACACGAGTTGACCAAAATACGACTGGTTTTGGATTGGCATCAGAGTGGTTGATTGAGACGATAGCGTAAGGATTCTAAATCAATCACAGAGCTACGCGAAACGAATCTAGTGCAGTGCCAGATTACGTTCATCGCTCAGTTGGGAATTTCTGCAGACGTTTCGTAAAGTCGTGAAATATAATACAAAACAATCATTAAGAGTAACTTACGAGATGTACCACCAGATGGCTCGTGGTACACTGAGATGCTTCTACTTCTTTTAACCAAACCCTTGTAACTGGACTTTCTTCTTACCGCGCTATGACCAGCAGTGCTATAAGCTCGATTCTGTAACAACAATAGCAAGACAAGGTTGATTAAAAATTCCATCTAAAAAAATTTCATTTTGGGGAGGAATGTGCAAATTTACCCCATTTTCTCTGCAAAAGGAAGGTTTTATTGCCTACCGACCCCATTGGACGGGATGCTTCCCGTTACCTTTTCAAGCTTCTCCAGCATTTCGTCGGGCTTCACTGATGGTTTGTTCTGGTTGGAGGTAGGCACTGTGAAAATTAAGCGTCTTGCCCAAGAACATAACAATGACCGAGTCAGAATTCAAACCCCGACCATTCGATCCGAGGCCTTCCGCGTGAATTGACACAGTTCTTAATCTTTTCTATCCTCCTCAATCATTGGGGCATATTTTTACCTACTAAGTGTGTGTCTAACCCAAGAGTATACGTCAGTGTTTCTCTGCATAAAAAAATTCCTACCTTGCAGAAAACAGTTCAATGTACCAAGCACTAAAACTTACTCTTCCCGATGTGACTGATTCAGAATCAGTTCGCAGCAGCAAGTCACTGGGTACCCGTAACCTTCTATGTCTCCTAAAAACTGCAGGAGCAAAGAATCCACTCGTTTAAACGACGGAACTATTATCACAGACAAATAAATACCTCATATGAACCCCTCATACCCTAACATCAGTACGCATTCATCTCCATACTGTTGTCCGTTAAATTTCTTAAGGTGCTGACAAGGAGAATATGTTTAACAATCAAGAACTACTTGGTAATCAGTTCCTTCATTCTGGTGACCTAAATTTGCGATTTGGGGCTGAAGAAATTTAATGCTAGGTACAGGGGTCAAAGGATTTCAGAACAAAGTAAGTAATACTAAGGCAATAAAGAATGCTGTGTAATGAGAATATCCAAGCCTATGATCTATCTAATATTTTTGCCCTTGTACGATGGTCTAACGCAGCACGTGAACGAATATCCCCCAGCTAAAACTGAATGATATCCGAGAGTATCACCTAATCGATATTCCCCAATTTTCAAACTTTACGTCCACTATGATGAGTCTTCGTTTCAAATTTAATTCAAGATGAGTGAGGGTTTTGTGGTTGTTACAGAAGAAGGGAAATATTTTTTTGTTCATTAAGTCGTACCAGAAAACAGCCAGGAGAAATCATTCCACGCTGAACACAGACCGCTGTTCGTAAACATTTTTTTCACGCGTATTGCAAAATATTTGACGTATAATAAACAACAACAGTCTCAATTTTACGAAAAATATCAGTTCCTCGAAGCCCACAGTTTTCTGAGAGCGAAGCTCGAGAAAAACTGTGAGCGTCTTGAAGTAGCAGCTTGCAGAGTATCTTGAAACATACAACCGTGTTTACTCGTTCGCATCTTGGAACACATGTTTTCCACGGATAAATATCCGTACATACTTTCGCGCAAAATAGAGGCTATTGTGTTTATTATGCTTGAATTAATTCGCGATGCGCGAGAAAAAGTGTTGACGAACAGTTGACTGTATGCAGCGTGTGATGTTTTAATTTGAGTGCTTTCTGGTACGACTTAAAAAATTCCTTGTATGCAAAGTATAACTTGAAATACAAAGTAAACTTCAAACCCACTTCAACCCACTCACCCTCTTCAGTGTCCTCAATAAAATGCAGACCTGTAATACAGGACGTGCTCAAAAATTCTGACAGATACCCAAGACGAACCCTGTCCAAAACATAAATTACATCAGAGTAATTTTTTACTAATAGTTGAAAGTACTACAGGATTGCATTAATTTTGGGTTACAGTTCACCACACTGTAAGATTGACCGCGCTCCGATCTCTCAACCAATCAGTTGTAGATGATACTGTTTGTCACCGTGCCTCTCCTTTCCCGCACTTACGGTTTGTTTACGCCTACCAACTTTGAATTCCTAGTATGAGCTCTTGAGCTTAAACCCCTATTCTGACTGGCCTTAATTGAACTTCGTAATGAGCTTTGCTCACCATGGAGTCTCTGTGGCTCAGTGGTAGAGCATCGGAGCGCAGAATCAGAAGGTCAGTGGTTCGATTCCTCATGGAAACTCAATATTTTCTTTGTCCCACGCTCGTGACAAGACGAAAAAACATCTTTCACTTATTTCTTTACCGAGCTCAAAACTTACAATCTTTCTCATTAAATAGCAATAATAATAATAATAAAATAATAATAATAATAATAATAATAATAATAATAATAACAATAATAAAACATTCCGTGATTCTACCTGACTCCAGATATATAGCCACTCTTCAGCATCATAATCATCTTGGAAATGGATGAATTGAGGGAGTCCTCTGAAAATAAAAACATAATCACATTTAGGAACTTGTTGGACGAAGAAAATGAATTTGAAAATTCTTTTGGAATACCTACACACGCGTTTTGAACTGCCCTTGTATATGTAATGATATTTACTGTTATCTCAAAAGCCCTCGGAGAAAAAAAACGAAAATGCTTGGTAAAAACGAAGTTCGTTATTTGTGTGCAGTTGTACCTTGTACTGTGTTTAAGCGGGAGAATTTAGAGAGTCATTCTCACGCTATTTATAAGGGTTATCAAAATTTGTTACTTGTTATAAGTGGACATCATGGTGATAAAGACATGACTAAAGATTAAAGCTGTTCACTGCCATAAATGACATACCACTATAGCAGTAGAATTGTCCGATCAAATAGACTGTTCAAAATTTGATGGGTCAATCATATTTCCGTTTGGCTTACGCTGGCACTATAGGTCAAATTGTCCAGAGAAGTTGCTATTTTGCCACTTTCTCGATAAAATTGTAGCTTCAAGATTTGTGGTTGTCACCAACAAAGATACTGTTCTTGCTGAAGAGAACGAGACCAGAAAAGAAATGAAACCGTCCCAAATTTTCCGTCATTCAAGACCTCCTCATGGTAAAGGAATTTGCTCTGAGTAAAAACGAATTCACGCGATAGCTATTTAGTACTAAGAGTGCTTAGAACAGCCGTGTCGACATACCCAACATTGAGTGAGTGATCGTCATTGTGAGAATCGGTCTTCCGAGTCTTCTCCAATTAGCTCCGAGGAAACCCACGAGTGACTTGATCCGATCAGCAAGGAACTCATTATCAAGAGCTAGGTAAAACTGGTGATAGTCGAGTATCTAAAACAGCAACAAAAAAGAATGCTAAATATTAACGTCAGGTACGTTGCTTAACTAAAAGGTTTATAGAGGTTTAGCCCCATTGCAAATTCGCTCCCGACAACCTTTGCGAGTTCGCTTCCTCAGGGAAGTAAAACAAGTTCGCTCCCAGACGTTTCCCCTCCTTTCCCTTTGGAAAAGCATATTTCTTTTACGTCAAAATAAAGATACATTTCAATCAACAAGAAACTTCAGCGAAACCATAACATAGTTCGATCAGCATGCAAATTCTTAGGCCAATTAACCGACGCACGATTTCTGCACATATGCTCAGATTGGTCAAAAACTTATCATACCGTAGCAGAAGAAAAGTAAATTTGGCGACTCATTTTTTCTATTTCTCCTGTTGGTCACACCGTTTGAGGTCTCCGATAGACACCAGTAACGCGTGATTTAAATTGACGAAGTTTCTTAAACTCACTTGGGGTGTAAAAGCCAAAATGGAGTTTCCGACATTGTACAACATGCTAGTTCCTAAGACTCCGATGTTATAGTTTGGCCTGAAAGAAAGAAAATGGGCAAAAAACTGAAATCGATCGATGTGCAAAGAAAATGCAATAAATGTTGAAAAGTGAATAACCAAACACTAATAACCGGGACTTCTAAAGTGATAGAGAGAAGATGATGAACGAATCAACTTAGCTCCATCCTATCAAACAACGACACCACCACCACCACCACCACCAACAAAGGAAACAACGACGGGTTTTCTGTTATTGCGACTTACCTGCCTGTCAGATCTAACTTGAGATTTTTCCCTGCGAAAAGGAAGTCATAGTTAAAATTTAACGACACTTCACAGTTGGCAGAAAAACTCTCCAGTTAACATTTAAGGTAATGACATAATTGAAGAACACTGAGTTAAAAGATAAAAGATACAACGGACACGAGAGCACCCCCTAACTTAAAAGCAGCATCCTTTCAACACTGTGCATTTGTTTGCAATGTGGTTGCTACACATCTGCAACACGCGCAAGATTCTAGTAGCCTCATGGTTAGTGTAAGAGAGACAGTACGCTCATGACTTAATGTTGGACTCTGCATTGAAATTTCAGGTTTTAAGCCTCGGTCAAAGCCACTGTGTTGGTTTGTGAGACTAACTATGCTTCTGGTGACTCAGGAATATGGATAGATCAATCCGTACCATTAACTTTCATGGAAACATAGATAGAAGGGAGCGGGGGGGTGTGTGGAATGGACTAACACTTCATTAAGGATGAATACATCGGCTACCACCGGTGGAAGTTAGGTTTGGTATCCCCGTGGGGGTACAGTGTTAGTAATTTACTTCTATTTTGGCACTGTACAACTATCAATTCTTCAATTGTTCCATTCCAATTTTGTTGCTTACCAAGCTGCTGGTACATGGAGCTGAGGGTGCGAGCTGGTAGGACCTGAATTGGGCCCACATTCTGTGTCACTTTAACAGGGACATCAAGTTTTCTCAAATGACTTCTTACCAACTCATCTTCAGCAAGCAGGGACACTGTCCATTTGAAAGGAAGGTAAATATGAAACGTAGCACAGAGTACAATTAAGACAGTGCAGAATGATTGGGTCACAATCATCTGTCTTCTTTTGAGAATTCCTCCTACTATTAAAACTCTACTTCTCAATACATGTTATGACAGGATGTATTCCATGAATGAATTTATGTCACTACATCGCTCTTATTTTTCTAAAACGCCTCATTAACCATGTAGGTTCCTGATTCAGTCCGATACTACTAAACAATGAAACAAAATTCTGTGTTTCGTGCAAACAACTAGTGGCTCCATACCAACGCAAACCATGCCTCTTGACCTTTTACATGGATGCAAAAACTCAGTATTCAATCATTACATATTACTATAAAACTATACTTATAGGCAAACAAAAACGGATCAAACAAACAAAAGACAGACCGAAAAAAAAACAAAAAAAAACAAGACTATAGTAACACGGATCCACTCTGTTTGTAAACTCTAAAATACATGAAGAGTTGGTGGGTATTGCATGTCAGATCATAGGCAGCAGAGGATTCGTATTCGACTTCATTTCCCAGCAAATTCACCTTATAATTGCAAAGCAACGCGATTTTATTTATTGTCCGTCAATACGTACGTTCGCTTCTGCATCTATTCAAATCCTATCTGCTGTAAATGCCGCTTTGAAGGTTGGCCAACAAACCAGGCCCCCTTTGAGCAAAGCGAAGCGAGTCAGTAAGAGGTCGCCAGGAATCTGACAAACATGTATCACGAGAGGGCGAGGGAAAGATCTGAACTTACACTATTGTATGATAATTTGGTTTTATCGACTGAGTTGACAACGTAAATTGGCCACCGTAAAGAGATTCTAGGTTGACGTTTCGGGGTTAGCCCTTTGTAAGAGCGAATGGTAGGAAAGCCGAGGGCAGATAGTACACTGACCTTGCACCACTACATCTGGTCTTTTGTCGGTCGAATGTCTACGATTAAGAGGGTCAATCTCCCCAACTGCGATAAAGTTCTGTTGGCAGAAACAATAAATCATATAAAATTAAGGAATCGATAAAACTATTACCAAAAGGCAACTAAATTATATGCAACTTAAACTGAGCTATAATTTTTAAATAATAACTTTATTCAAGTGCCCATGAAAGCTAGCAAAGAGACAGTGCCCACATGCATGCGTACTTCCTATGCATAACCCTGGAAAATGGATTCACTAATAAATGTGCATGCTACAATGCACCAGTGTAATAGGTTCCCTCCACAAAATGAGGAACTGTAACAAAACTCAGTAATGCACTGGCATCAGGGTCACAGGTAGTTTCAATCTGCATTAAGTGATTTTTGTCCTGCTCTTGCCAAACAGGCTAATTGAAAAAGATCTCTTGCTGTGTAATTATGCTCTTACTTTACTGTACATGTACCTCTTTAAGCAGACATGCCAGAACATAGAGCGAGTGAGACCACAAGTGCAACACATATTCCCCACAATTCCTTTCCACACTGTGCGGATTAGCTTTCTCAACATCAACCTTAAATGGTCACAACACGCATAAACATTCAATTTCGTAAAGTTGACATGCTTTTAACAAGTTCCCAGTAGATCTTAACTAAAGATACCTCTACAAAAGCAATAAAGAAAAAAAATTGAAGGTCACAAATGCCATTCTGATTAAGATTGTCTTTTGAGCTCCAAGCAGTAACCGCTGTGCACTTAAAACATCAGACATGCTGAACTCTTTGCCCCCTAAGAGTGACTAGCATCTACATCTAATTTCTCCTTACAATACCACCCCTGAAGCAAACATTACGGTCATAAGAATAAACAAAATGATCACCACCTAAAGAAGTCCTTGATTGTTAAACAAATTATCCTTGTCAGTACCACTGGGAATGTATAGAGAAAAGTGGGGAGAATATGCTTATTGATGTTGGGGTGTAAATAAAAATGACCAAGTGAACAGTGTGCAGAAAACAATTTCAACCCACAATCAAGTTGGGATTCTAGGCAGTCAAAATTTTATTCTATATACAATGTGATAAAACTGCACTTCAAAATTACAGTGTCTGTATAGTAGCAACAAGAACTTTAAGAAAAGTACTACACGAATTATCAAGAGATATTTAAAAGACATTAGATATTTGATGGACATTTCATGCATGAATTGAGTTTTAAATAACTAAAGGTAAGTTATTGATTTCCTTCCAGCTTTCCATGCTTGAAAAAATATTGAATTTGGTTCCAAAAATTTTTAAAGCAAATAAAAGGAGGAAAATACTAAAATCAGTGTACATGTAACTTAAGATAAACTCTACTTTGCTTGACTAACCTTGTCCCTGGGTACATAAAAGAATTCTGGAACTAAAGGAAGACCACCTTCATCTCGCACAAGCAGAGGTTCCAGCAGCTTTGTGTATGTTTTCACCTAAGATGCAGAAATACATGACTTAAATATAATTATATTTTTGACCACTAAATTACTTGCACCAGGTTCTCCAAGTTTTTCTTTTTTACTCAAACCTCTGTAATCATTAGTTTCTCTGACCTACAATTAAGAGAGCACAGGAACATAGTTATCATGAAGATTCTCCAGGTCAGCCAAAAATGACATTCAATTTTGCAGCACCTTCCATGTGCGTTTAAATTATGCGCTTAAAATACTTGACTCCAGACCACAAATTCAGCTAATATATTTAGATAAGAATTCCTCAAATGCCAAAAAAAAAAAAAAAATTTAACAGAACAAAACAAAAAATGGAAGCCAGTGTTAGTTAATGTACATGCACTTCAGAATTTCCTCTCTAAAGGTGTACATGTATCTTTGATAATTGTCATATTTTCAAAGCAACAAATTATCATTATGGCAATAGATGTAAAATCCACATTGATGTTAAAATTGTTTATTTTGAAGTATTTCACGATTGTAAATGCATGGCTTGAATTGAATGTAGCTAAGAAAAAAAATAATCGATGGACAAATTTATGGTATTTTATATTGTTTAATATCAATGGCAGGATGACACAAAAAAATCCATTTTTATTGCTTGATTCTTTATTCAATGACCTGTTTAACAACACATATTCTGTGTTTGAAAAAAAAAAATGTATCTTATCCAATGACCTGTTTAACAATACACATTCTGTTTGAAAAAAAAATTAATGTATCCTGTCAATTTTTTCAGCAGTTAAAATTTAATTTAACAGCACGTCATGGCTCCTTTATGATAATATTTCATAATTGAAAATTTTACAAAATATTAAACCATGGTATCCCTACATTTTCGTTCACATACTCTTCTGAGTATAATTAAATTCATAAATTCAATATCACTGTGCTGCATATTTCTAAATCAAATTCTTTCTTGATGTACTTTACAATTTAAAATTCTGACATATACTATATGTACAACCTCTTTGACAAAAGGGTATTCAAGAAGATTACTGTTCCTCACCCTCTATTAAACACCCTTTTTGGTAAACAAAGAAGAGATTGTTTGAGACAAAAGGCTACACAATTAGGTAGACCATAAGGATTAACAGAACCAGTGGTCAACCACAATAGCTAGAGACATAATTTGCATAAAAGACTTTAAATGATTTTAGATTAAAAACACAATGGTAAAAACATGTAGAGTAATTTCATGAGAACTGAAAAAAAAATTCAATGATTGCTACATTGTCATTAAAAGCTCCAGAATTTAAGCCTTTCTGAATAGGAGTATTTCCTTTCGGGGGGCCAGATTGTTTACAGAGATAGCAAAATGTCAGTGCACTTGTATTTGTTCAACAGAAAAGCAATATCAATGTGGTTAACGCCATGCCAATTAAATAAATATTTAATTGGATGAAGATAAATGGAAGGCACGGAACAAAGAACTGACAGAACAATTCTTAAATTTTGATGTTTACTTAGAACAGAACCAACAAAACATCTGGCATTCATGGTAATCTCTTTACTCTGTAATATGTTGTACATGCCACAAACATTTCAAGATCTCTGGTTTGAATCCTTCTTGTAATATTCATGGATGATTTCGACTCTCAAAAAACACCAGACAACAACTGAATCTTTTGTGTGTATTCCACCCCAGAGCAAACATCACTACCACATAGCATTGCAGCTAAGGTACAGATATTTTGATTTGATCAATGAAACCATGCCATGAGAAAACAAGAGGACAAAATGGTTCAAGTCTCTCTTCCAGCAAACAACCATAGCAAAGTTCACACCTCTAGAACTATTCCTGTGAGTCCCACAGCACCGGAACACTTTTCCATTGAACAAATCAACAAACTAGAGAGCAAGTTTTTACATCAAAAGTGGCCGGATAAAACAAGAGTTGTTGTTATAGCAATGGAAAGCAACTTGCTAACTAGAGATGTGGAGGTAAAAACAATAATTTTGCCCTAGTATCAATGTTCACCCTCTATAAAATATCTTTTAACAGAGCATGTCTTGGTGTCTGCTCTCCTGAACATAATACTGTCATTCTGATAAACAAAATGTTACAAAAGTGACAGAATGTCAATGAGTTTCACAAAGGTCTACAATATAAGAAAACCCTACATGTAAATGTACATATGTATCAACAACAATATATTATAGCTATTTTTTTACCAATGAAAATTGAACACTTTTCTTTTCAGTACAAAAAAACCTGCTTTCAAGCTAGAAGAAAACCCAGTCAAATGAAAAAATCATGTTACAAGTGTTTAGAATTTTGTGGCTGTTTAGTGATGAAAAGGGTTTGACTCATACATGCAAATAAACATGTACCTCGAATCATATAATGTTATATACTATCACACCAAGAACCATTTTTTGGTCATAAGAATTGTCTTACAACTGTTTGGCCTTTTGTATACTGTGATAGCAACAGATACACTATAACACTGCCCATTGTCTAAACTGTCTTTCTGATACTCTAATGCAGAAAAATTGTGTTTCTTTTTTGTTTCAATCATCAGCTCTGGTTCCAAGCAAGAAGAGAAAAGTGGATGCAAGGAGTAATTGCTGCCATTGCTTTGGCTAAAGAGTCTTTATCAGAGTATCCATGACCATTTGGATAAAAAAAATTAACTGAAACAATCTATGCACTTATTTCTGTGTAATAAAGGTTCAAGAAGACAAATTCAATGCTTGGACCAAATGACAAAGTGATCCTTGGAATACACAAAAAGAATACGAAAAGATGACATTCCAAATCAATGCATTTGGTGGTGAGACGGCACTTCCTTGAGAACAGCTCAGATACAATCAAAGGCTTTTTCTGCTAAGACATGTGGTAGCACGAAGATAGTTTTGATTGAGCAAGGGGAGAATATTCTTGATGCCTAGGCAAAAATAGCTTATGCCAGTTGGCTTTCACAGAAAAATTCTGAGTAGTAGCAAGAGTATACTCAAAACATCATCATGAACATCCTCCTGATTGCCCAGAGTAACTGATACATTGTATCAACAATTTACATGTATATTGTGTCTATAAGATGGCTGCCTTTTTCCAGTCTGGCTTCCATTGATCAAGCTTTATGCCATGAAACATATAAATATTTAATTTTTTTTTATTATTTAAATCAATATTTCCATGTACATGACAAGTGAATGCATTCTGAGCAGCAAGACATTAATCTCAATAATTAAACATTAATTTTGATCATTTAAAAAAAAAATCTTATTATAGTGCTAAATTAATAAAACAATACATGTACAAAGCAGGACTGCACAGAGAGTTTTTCAACTGAATTGGAAGCAGATTACAGGCTGAACAAAAAAGGATCAATGGTTTATTTGGGTTAATGCCTCAAATGTACTGTTATGTTTAAAAAAAGAAAAGAAGAAGAAGAACCAAAAACTCAAAGTGCCAACACATTAGTTGAGACTTACCTGCTCCTCATCATCATGAAATACACCGTCAAGAAGGAGGTAACAGAAGAACAATGGCCATTCACATTCGATATTCTCAAAGATCTCCAGTTCAGCTGGTTCATAATGAAGTCTGAATGGGTCCTGAAGAAAAAAAATTTCATTGTGTTTAAGAACAGGTTGTCTTCACCCTCTGCAAACACAGTGATTTGTAGTAATACTAATGGTATCAACCCTTCACACCCTAACATCAGTATGCCAACTATCTTCTCCCTACTGTTCTCTATACATTTCCCAAAGTGCTGACAAGGAGAATTTAAGGAGAGCTTCTTTAGCTGGTGATCATTTCCTTTTCTCGTGTGACCATAATGTGTAATTAATGGCTGATACTGTTAGGAGAAATTAGATTTTAGTCACTCCTAGGGATCAAAGGGTTTAAATCACAGTGTAAGAAGTAGGACCAAGGATGCAACTGTCATAAGTCAGTAACAATCTAGACCAACCTTGTAAGAGTACACACTAACCTCAAGTGGAGTTTTATAACCATCTCGGATGAAACGAGTAAGACCATATCGACCCTTTCATCAAAGATTGGAAGAAAGATTTAACATGATAGCTATTGCACAAAGTTGAAGTAATAGAATGTTCTGTAATTAGATCATACTTATCAAGGCTGAGATCAAAATACTGTGATATCCTTCAAGTACAGAGCAACTTTAACATAATATCATGATAAGAAAACTATTTACAAGGATGAAAGACATGAGTATTGTTGATCAGCTATTTTTTTCCATTTAAATTGATCAAACCCAATTTTGATGACTTCACCATCAACATCAACTAAACCATGTCAAAATAAAAATATATTAAATCATGTACAAGATGTAATATTGAACAAAAAATACACATATCAACAGACCTGAAGTTTTGAAATTATTTTTTCCCTAGATTCTTTGACTAGATCTGCATCTTCAACGGCAAAAGCTGGGAAACTAATTACACTCAAAACAGAAGCAGCAACTTCCTGTTAAAAATAAGCATGTTTGAAATAATCACATTATACTGATATGAAAGGTTATAAAGGGAAAACTGAGTATGCTACATGATTGTACAGTGAACTACACTGTACACTTAGCCCCAGAAAATCCAGTTAAAAGTGTTCTACAACTACATGTACATATGTATACATGGTGTTAATTGTTATTAATATTAATTATTTTACAAATCTTTTGAAAACTTTATGAAGTAACAAGAAGATTCAATATGAAAATGTGCGTGGCAAACACCTATTTTTTCACTTTAACTTGCTATCTTGCTTCTTCACTAGGCCAGTAAGATTAAACAGTTTATTTCATATCTACACTACTGTCAAGACCCACACTCTGTTAGAAAACTTCAACAATGTATAAGTAGCATGACAACCCTTAAACTCCCTGTTCAAATTTATTGTTCTCTTTACTTTCAACCATACAATTCTTGTAATGTTAGTTCAGAGAATTTAGTATTGGATCAACTTATTATCCCCAAATTGATATTTTTTATCCTCATCACTTATCTGGTTGATATTGTATTGATATTGTAAAGAGAAATTCTGTCTTGGTCACTCATGGGAGTTTAAGGGTTAATAGACTACAATACCCCAGTTCTACCATGGACATGTACAGTAAGGAAAATGCAAATTCTCAAATTTATTACATTGTACATTTTGAACTACTATCACTATTATTGATCCAAAGTTCTCAACATCAAAGTTAATAACAGTCATACTATAGATGCAATCAATAACTACAGTATTAAATAAATACCTATGAGCAATCATACTGTGCTTTACCTTGGAATTGGATTCTCTTGGTACCATTGACTGTAAAATAGCCTAGTAAGAATATAACAAACAGTATACATGTAAGAGAGAAAACGCTGTACAGCAGAGCACATTTTTAAAAAACCTTTTCTCAATATTTTATACTCCATTCATTGTCATAATGTGCAAGGTGCTGATTGATTTAAATCTGGGGAAATTTACTGTAACTGTTTAAAAAAGTTGAATTCGTTTAAAAATACACAAATTACTGTTGTTTATTCAGTTGTTTGTCCAAATTGCCTCAAAAAATTTCCACATTTCAATATGAACCCAGTATGTTGAGAAAACAAGTTCCACTCTAACAAAGGAATTCGCCAAACGAAAAGTGATTAATATAAAATGTTTGGTATAACTTTCAAAGTATTTTATCAAACATCTCAAATAAGCCAGTCAAGGCAGATGTTTTGGTCACTGTACTTACCTTACACTGCTGGATATCATCAGGAAGAATATGGATAACAGAGGCATGTCCTCCCTCTGGGCCAAATAAATCCAAACCATCTAATGCTTCCAGAGCAGCCTTTGGATAGAAAAAAAGCAAACCCATTACAACACCATTCAAAAAGTTACACACATTCAAGCTCTCCCTTAAATGGAGGGGGTAAGTTTCTAAAGAAACTGTGGTGCTGTGATAGTGGGAGGGTATAACAGGGTAATTTGGTATTATTAACTGAGTTGATAACTTAAGTTGGCCACCATAAACAGTTTAAAAGCTGATGTTTCGAGCTTTAGCCCTTGTACATGTAGTTATCTCTGAGGAGAGGCTAATGCTCGAAACATCAGATTTTAGACTCATTACAACTCTCCTTTAAAAAACTTTTTGAGTGAATCAGGGATGGATCTAGAGAAATTAAAGAGGGTGAACTCAATCATTTCAGTAAGACTACAACCTTTTCCTGTAGCAGCAATGGGTTCACAATGGGTTCACAATGGGGTTCACAGTACAATGAGATCATCCAAGTGAGGGTATTCCTTGGAAGAAATTTTAACAGTGACTGAGACTGAAATTTTTCTGACCACTTGACTGACAGCCAAATGTCCTTTGTGTTCAGGTGATCTTAGTCTTTATCATGACAACTGTTTGGTCAGTTTTTCCAATATAACTGGCTTTAAGATGCAAGTGGTGCATACAAATTATGTTTGGTTAGTTTTTATTGCATGCTAAATATACAATAGGGTCATTCTGTTTAGTTTAATGGTTTTGAGTATGTTGTTACTGCATCTGTTTGAAATTTGCTGAGGAGCCAAATATTCTCTACATGAATTTTAAAATGCTTTAAAATGCTCAATGAGACTCTGAAAACATTTGAAACACTCCTAAATGCTCAGTGTACCCTTGGAAAGACCCTGCCTTAAAAATGAAAAGTGAGATTAAAAATAATGTAGATTACACAACCCAGTGTACATGACTTGGGTATATGTGTTAATTAGGCAGGTGGTATGTGTAGGCATTTATAAACGTCTTGTTGTCAAATCAAGTGCAAAATTAAGAAACCTTTGCCATTCCAATGGAACTTGTATTTAGCTCTGGCATGCCATGATTAAGTTTGTCCCCTCTTTCCCAAATACCATAGTCCTGAAAATATAGGAATGCACACATCATACAGATAACATTTAATACACTGTATATACATTGTAGCACATGTTCAAAATTCAAAACTATGATAAGTATTAGTTACTTTTAATCATTAAAATAATGATAATAAAAATAATAATACATCTCACAATAATAAGTTTTTTTTTCATGATCATTTAAGTTATGTACAATTTTTACATTTATTTAATATTATAAAAATTGGTGATCTTTTTTAATTCTATGGGTACTAGGAAGGAGTAATTCTGAAAATAAACCAGACAAAAAATATCAAACAAACAAAAAACCAGAGAAACTTCTCTTAAATTTACTAACAATCATTTACTGTCCAATTGAAAGCAAATATTTGAAACATATGACATTTTTGCGCGAACATGCGTATGATAATGAACAAAATTGCGTAATACAAGTCACTTACTGGGATGCAAAATGCTTTTTCAATGTAAAACACCAGATTTTGAATGAAGGCAACTTCATCAAGAGTGAAAATAATTTGTATTCCTATACAAATAAAGAAAAAAAAATGAAATATATGTAACAAAGAAAGCAAATTATATGACAAAATAATCAGTGAGTATAAATATTAGGGAAAACTGAATGTAGCTTTTTGTGATGATTTTGTTATGTAATTATAAGGCAAAGGACACTTACAGTATCAAAGCTGTATCATTAAGTTGTAAAAGAAACAAACAGCTACAAACTTGTAACAAATTACACTTGACAAAGTAATGTATGTAAATTAGCTTTAAATGTACCTGAGGCAGTCATTTCAGCCAACATGAGGAGGTAGAGTGATGTGGCATCAATCTGAAGATGTCCCCAGGCATGGTCTCCAACACAAGGACTACAAGTCTCTGCCACCATGATCAGATCACATTGCAATTAGCATTTAAACAAAGAATCTCACAAACAATTTCTACTTTGCCCAGGCTGTTATTACTCACTTAAATTGTATTTTGCATGTAAGGCATCCTCCTTTGCTTGAGATTTCTTAAATTTTTCAACCTTTTCAACCTGGAAATAAATCAAGAACACTAACTATTGAACATACATTGTGAAAGATCAACCCTGCTGTGATTCTGTTTCTTACATGTACACTGTAGGAAACAGGAGGTTTACATTTGAATAATAAACTTTCTATAAACGTGTACGTGTACGTGTACCTGTCTCATCATACAGAGCAGCAAACCTCTCATGCACTTTACCACAGCCTAACACAAACAATGGAGAGAAATGAAAAGCATCAGAGGGAAAAAATAAGGGCAGGTGTACTAATAAGAGAGGAAGGGGCTCAATTCTATCTGAGCTCCACACTCTAAATGAAAAATAAATATATGGTGGTAAGATATTTGCTGTTATTTCAGATTATAACATTTTTCAACATGACCACAAATGTGTTTACGATAAGATTACGCAAAAAATGTGTGAACTGTTAGATACAGGGATAGAGTTCACGTACTGCACATGTTTATAGGTGTACATCTCTAGCTTCTCTATCAGCAACAATCTTGAACATGTTGAACAAAGAACTCCAATGGATACAAATGATCTACAGTTACAAAATATAAAATTTTCGCAACAAGCAGTTACTCTGACTAATGTTTCAATGAGACTTGCCTGTGTAAGTTCATGTGCCCTTGCTCTGTCCTCATCCATGTCAGCGTTCTTTCTGTAAGCAAGTGACAGACCCCACACAGCCAGGATACTGTAAACATTGTCCCGCACCCAAGCATCCTTACAGTCACAAGATCTTGATTTATAAGCATTCCAGTCGATTTTCGGTGGCAACAGACCAGTTACTGGATCCTGAGATCAAGAAAGAAGTAAAGTCACAACATCTGTTTAGCAGTCTTGCAGAATACACATAGAAATCTCTTTTCTTATCAATGAATTAGGCCTTAAAAAAAAATTGTATTAACAAAAACTAGCTGACAAACAACAGTAAGATTCATGCCCCAGAAACACTCGATTTATATCAACAGTCATAGCAATTTCGGATAAAGGCATACCTGAAAATCTAATATTGTCCGGTTTACGAGACGATGATACCAGTCCAGACGAACAATGGAGTTGCTTCTGGCCCTCATGACTTCTTAATCTAATGAATTGTCCATCTGCAAGGTCCTTTCTAAAAACAAAACAAACTCATCCATATTCCCATGTTTCCGCCATATTTGATTCGCTGACGTCAAATGTGACCGCAATTTGGAAAAAGGCCTGGGTCTGAATGGTGACGTCCATGCCCGCGTAATTTGACGCAACCAATCGTAACGATGGAAACTTGCAGCAGCTTGCTCATAATTTGTGGCGCTTTGGTGAAAGGGGATTTTCGGTAAAGTTTAAGAAAGTTTCATTTTTTCGGAATCACTGATGCACAAATAATCTTTCATTTTAGCATAACCGAGATTTGCTGAAAGAAATTGAAGGGAATCTGAATAGATATTGTCACATGACAAGTCGATCGTATGATTTTGCGAATCCTAAGATGGCGGTATATTCAAATCAGCTGAATCAAACACAGGACCTCCTTAGTCAGGTAAGCTTTCCTCAAAACTTGGACGGCAAGATTTATTTCTCTTTTTCCCAAGTACAAGGAAAATTTTAATATCCTTTAGAACTGTTAATTTGATTGCACACTAAAGGAGAGAAACTTGCGTTTCATTATATTCGATCGGTAGGAATTGTCGAAACTGGAGAACTGTGGAGAATCGACAAGGCAGGTAAGACAATTCTGATTGCTGTGCTTGAGATCGATGACTTATCCTAAGCGAGTAACGACTGAACGCATTTACAAAACAGCAACAACGTACTGCAAAAATATTAAATGAAACACCGTTAGTACTGATTTATTGAAAGTCACAGATGAAGGATAGGATTATTCTGATTTAACACTTTTTAACAGAATGAATAAAACAGCTTGTGAACATAATTTTTTCAGCTCTTATATGACAAGTTTTTCTACGCTACAGGACCGCTACTCCCTACTTAAAGTTTACTTTGAGAGTTTGATCGACCAGCACTCAACATACAGGGATCTGCTTTCCAGGATAAAGGTACAGGAAGTTATCAGCACAAATCATTGACATATTAGATGAAACACCTCAGGTACAGATCTATTCAAAATAACAGAATGCGACGAAGGATTGTACCAATGTAGTTCTTCCAGAAAGATGAATATGTGGAATGACTTTAGAACGACATGAAACAGCAGATTACGGCTGGACTGAAAACAAGGGGCGGTTATTGTGCCGAATGTAAGGAGCCCAGTTAGCGCCATCTCGTATTTCTCATCAGTTTTTTTTTAATTTTTTTTATTTTTTTAATCAACTCAACTTTATTTTTCACGACCTCAGTTTTTTCCTAGCACGACTTAAACATTCCGGCACGGCTTAAACATTCTGGCACGACTTTAACTTTCCGATATGACTTAAACTTTCCAGCACGACTTTAACATTCCGGCACGACTTTAATATTCCGGCATGACTTTAATTTTCCGGCACGACTTTAATTTTCCCGCACGACTTTAATTTTTCAGCACGACTTTTTTATGGTATGACCTTTCACTTTTTCAACCGCAAGACTCGACATAACAATCAACGCGGCAATGGCCTGTTGTCCAGGGCATACATTATTAAGAGCAGCGAGGCATATTAGGTTTCAAATTGTTTTTATAAGGCTTTTGGGATTATGGTTACTACCCCATTTCCAGAGTCCCTTCTGTCATAGTCTCCCTTTCTGCTTCAAGGTGGCATTGAGAGGAGAGACCCAGGAATTGTGAGGTAACCTACATGTAGCTGGATTCTTCTTTTCCAGATGTTATTTTTCACAGTTATATCATTTTGACAGTTAGAAATTATAAAAATTACCCAACGAAGATCTGAGTTATTAGTGCCAAAAGTAAAAATTATAGGATTACAAATAACAACAATTTTTAGAAGAAGCCCAGGTTGCAAGATATGCTCTACCTCTTACATGACTTTCTAAGACTTCATGCCTTCATCTTTTAAGATTTTTTTTTATGAGATATTGTGTGGCCCCTCCAATGTGATTGCACCTGTTGCTTGCTCCTCTATCAACAGTAATATACACAAAAAATTTATCTAAGAGAGGGAAAAAATTATTTCATTCAAACTCCTGTTCAAAGCAACAATAAAGAGGTCCTGTAGATAATCAAATAGATTATCATAACATTTTTCATAGTAAAAGAGCCTCATTTCACAACTTGAATGAAATAAATATTATGGTGACCAGCTGATAATACTTGAGTGACCAAACAATCCTTGCCGTGAGCAGCAAATTAAGCAGTTGCAGATTGAGAAGAAAAAAAAAAGAAAAAAGATAAGTTAAAAACTGATCTTGATTTATTTTTTATGGGCACCTTTCTCTCAAATTGGAGCTTACTTGGGAGTTTCTTGTGTTAATAATTACAACTTCCTTTGTTACTGCAGTAACTCCAATTGATATCCTGCTACTGGTTTATCAAATGGAGGTCAATGCACAGTTTAATTAATAAGTTCTTTTTTAACTTGTAGGCAGAGTATGAACATTGTATAGCTGCATTAGAGAGAGGTCAGAGAGAGGCAGTGTATCTGTCAGAAAAGTTAGCGGCAACTTTAATGGAACATCAAACATTTAGGTAACGGGAAACAACATCAGTTGACAAACTGAATGTCAAGAATAGTGAAAAAAAGAATCAATTTTTTGTAAATTTCTATTTAAACAATGTTGAAAACAGTTGTGATATTTTTTCCCTTGACTCCATCGGTAAGCCATCATAAACTTAAGTTGTGTTAGTTTAGCTGAAGCGAATTATTTCTTTCCTCAGGAACATCAAGGCCCGTGCAGATGAGTTAGAATTGAAGGTTACATTGCTTAGAATGCATAATCAGAGGTTTGTGAAGCCGTGAATGTCTTATGAAACTACAGTATAAAGCGGTGAAGCACCTAGCTAATTTGATAAGAAAGCCGGATGATACAAGCTGACGCTACAAATTGAAACCCACAGAAGAAGTTCGGACGAGGTCACTTTTTATTTCTGGCACTACCCTCGCGTTTACCTCCGCTCGACAGAAAAAAAAAGAAAACAAGCCAAAACGAAAACGAAACAAAAAGTGTCACCACGGCGACGCATGGGGAAACATTACCTTAAAAAACAAAACAAACTATCCTTTCTGCTAAGAATCTCGCCAATGTATCTATCGTTTCTAATGGGGTGACAACTTCTCTATGGCTTCACATGATAATGTTGAGTTGAAGTAAAATCTTAAAAATTGCCGTCGAGGTTTTCATCATAAGAGTACACAAAAATTGAAAATTTCACGTTGATGTTCTGCATTGGAAGGCTAATAAATGTACAAAGTATTAAAACGCATATGCTACGTTATTTTTTTTCTCATTGGGTCTTTCGTTTCTCCACTTCTCGTTGCTGTTGTCGTCGCGCTTTTCTTTAAGCTTCAGACGATGGAAGGTAGTCCTTCCCAGTTTTACCGGTTTTTTATGTTTTATTCATTTATTAATCTATTTAATTTATTAGTTATTGTTATTATTCGTACTATTATTACAAATACTGTTTGTTTATGTTATTCACCATTGATAAAAGTGGTTTAAAGGGCTTCGAAACAAACATTAAAACATTATTTTTATAAGTATCTATCACAATTTGACACCTGTCAATTAGAGAGCGCGTAAGAAAAAAAACGCATGTGCTCTTTTGAAAAAACAAAGTAACTAGTTTGGCAAGGACTGTCACGACAATGTCTCCTTCAAAACCAGTTAATGACCTTACGGAGAGTATTATTCACTCTCATCGAAGATTAATTAATGTACGAAGATTTACCGCTGTTCAGTAAGTAAATGGCAAGGAAAGTAATTGTAAATAAATTCAAATTTTACATTTTCATACTTACCTGTTTGCTGCAATGGCGAGTGTTAATTTGGTCTTTTCTCCACAAAACTGAATTCGAATGAAACACTTCAACTAGACACAAGGGAGTTTAATGCGGCTTTTTCTCATTGAATTCTTTCAGTTTCTGTTGTTCAATTTACCGTAGAAATGTTCATATTGAACGAACCTGGAAAGACTCACCAAAAGTGTATTTGTTGTAGAACTCAGTGAAAACTTTGCTCGCCCTTTCACTACGAACAAATTGTTTGAGAGAATTCAGATATTACATGAATGAAAGATCCATTGATGTTTTGAATTATAACCAAATAACTCTCATTTTAACTTTCTAGGTACTTTTTGTGAAGGATTAAAATTTATTATAGACGGTTTTTAGGCCGCTTGTCAACCGATTTAAAGACCCTTTTTCCTATACATATTAATTTCGAAACCAATATTTTTCTGTTAACCAAAGTGATTTGTGAGAGAGAAAAGAGAGGATTAATAAGTTATTCATCGGCTTGAGGTAGTGACCGACGTCTTTGCTTAAAATAGTGCCCAGCAGGAAAAACGAGATAAATTTATGAAAAATGGAAGCGAAGGTAGGGATGTACTTAGCGTGTCTGTGAGTAGAGATATTAAAATACGGACCGCGCTAAGAACCAATCAGATTGCAGGATTCATTGCCAGGTCCTCTGAGGAAAAAAAATATATTCTTGAGTAGGACATTTTACAGTGTCTTGCTAAAATGTTTCATTTCTCTTAACTCGTCAGATTGTCATCCAGACAGATCAGATCATCCGACCACTGTCGTTATTCATCCAGAGAGAACAGATCGTACAACCAACGTTATTCATCCAGCCTTATCTCCCCGGGTGGGTCTCATGAAGCACGATTTAGAAAATACAGCGAGAAAGAATTTCAATTACAAAAAAAGGTGCAAGCGCTTAAATGGTCACAACACAACTTGACTATTGGAATGCCGTTCAAGTTTTTTTCCAATTTTTCTTTTCAAAAACAGCCCGAATTTTAGAGAAATTTCAGTCAGGATTTTACGGAGTGACATGAAAAACAAGGGTTCCGACACTGCAATTTCTTGGTTATGCACAGGCAAGAAAGCCATGTTCAAAGGGGAAGGCAATGATGTAAAAATATCAATGTTTTCAGGAACAACACTACTGGAACAACTACCTTCAAATTTTTGTGCGGACGGAAAGCACACTTAAAACGTTGTTTTAAAATGTTTTTTGGATGTATTCAAACGTGCCCACTGGGTTAAGGACTGCCACACGGTTCCCAAAGTATGATTAAGAGGACCACAAGTACGGAGGGCTTGTCTTATGCCGCTCATGCTCGCGTCCGCCACTAGAAAACCGCACAAACATGACTACTCCTCTTCTGGAGGCGTTTGTTACTCCGGTATTGATTAATGCATCTTCAAGAACCGAGCTTGTTAGCAGGGTCTTTCCCTTTAATGGTTGTTTCCAGGTTCTCTTTCAAGTTGGGATCACTCGCTCACACCACGTTCGCGCTTTTTTCCAAGTCTGACAGTGGAAAAGTTGACAGATACAGCATTTCTGACCAAAAAGGTACATATTTTAGCTTGATTTGCTTGTACTCCCTTTTTAAATTTTGGAGGTTGTATTTAAAGCTGTTTTTATTGTTTTTTTTTTCTTCTTGCTTCGTTTTCGTGTTTTTGTTTTGTTTTTAGGGTTTTGAGTTATGTAGGTAGTATATACATGTTGTCGAACCAAAGAGGTTACTGTTCTATTTGCTCAATATTTCTGATTATTATACGGCTAGCTCTGCGAGTGGGTCAGGTGAAGCGAACTTTGTGTGCTTATTGATTACTTAAGCGATAGAAGGAGCGTGGTTGATAATACACGTTTTTATGTACGTGATAGATCGGTTGTACTCGTTTTATTGGAAAAGAGGTATGGGGGGCAAGTATTAACAAATATTTCAAGTAAGGCTGAATACAAGTGGAGCAATTTTCAGTTTAGGTTTGAAGGAATTTCAAAATTGGTTCGGTGTTCCTTTCCTTCTCATTAACTCCGTCGTTGGTCCAGAAAACTCGCTCCCTACAAGACTTAAGCTAATCACGTCATGGTTTCTCGTGTTTCCTCGCTGCTTGTGTTACCTATAAATTCTCATTGTTTGGTTGTGATGGTTTCCTTTGCTCTGAATGGCTGTTAAGATTATTTTGGTTTTGCTTTAAAACTTGCTTTTGCTTTTGTTTTTGTTTTAGTTGGCTGACTTGAAATCGCAAGTTGCGGTGGCGAAGCTCGAAAATGATACCAAGTATGTTGACTTAACTCTAAAGAAGGTTACGAAGTAGTTAATTGATTGGGAGTGCAAGAAACCATTAAAGGATGGCAAGGGGGAAGTGAAAAAGAAAAAAAAAAAAGAAACCAGCAGGGTCCATGAGCAAACCTGCATCTCAGAACGTGCAGCACGCTTAGTGTTACATGTTTGAGTTCAGACCACGTGATCGTTTTAAGCACAACACGTTACTATATGGCTTTGTGTTATTCTTATGAACCTCCCCCCCCCCCCCTCCCCCCTCCCCTTATTGGCAGTTAATTTTCTATCGTCCCCCCTTTATACTCTGTTGGGGACTAATGACTTACGAAATCCTCCCCCCCCATTATACTCGAAGACCATGTGATCCCCCAAAAATACCCCCCGACCTCAAGGAGAAAAAAGTACCGACTGGTTTCTTAAGCCCCGTTCAAACGGTCGTGATAGGTGATGATAGTTTCAACTATCACGCGCGTTTGAACACGAACTGTTATTGGCTATCAGCGACTATCACCAACTATCATGTATCTTGGACATGTTCAAATTCGATATGATAGTTGCTGATAGTTTTTTCCGTTTGAACGATCGATGATGATAAATGAGAGTTTTCCCGTGAGCAGTTTTGCCAAAAAACGGGCTCGAACCAAAATCGTTAATGGTAATTTAGCCCTCAAATTTCGCAGAATGCTTCGCAGTTCATTCTTATTATCTCCTGGTAGGCTTCAGTATCTTTAACTCGTAACTGCTTGACTAAAAATTTCAAATGCCACCAAAATCACTGACCTCAGCGCGCGCCATACTTGTTTACAATTACATGATCTCATTGTGTGATTTTGTCATCTATTATCAGCTATCACGAGCCGTTTGAACGCAAAAATTATAGATAATAATAGTGAATGAAAGTTGAAACCAGCAACAACTATCATCAACTATCATGAACGTTTGAACGGGGTTTTAAGAAGAGCGGTTGCTTCTACTTGTTTACACTCGTTTAGAAATAAGAACAACCTGAGTTTCCTTTTAATCAGCACAATGCAGGAAATGGTTTGAACTCGGGTTTCACATTTGATCATGTTGTCTGATCGTACGAGTGAAGGGTAATCCTGAGAAGGAACATGTTGGTAGTGGGGACGGACATTTCGACAGTATTCCTTCTTAGAACTGTCCTCACGCGGACGATCAGACTTCATCATCTTCGGTCTTCACAAGTTTTCTTAGTTTGTTGTTGAATATCGTTGATAAGCATATTTTAATTTCTCCTTTCAGATTTGTCCCCAAAGTGATGAAAGGTCAACTTTTCAATCGTCTCCGCGAAAAAGAGGTGATTTGACCTGCTATGTTTTTACATCTCATTCCCGTAAATCTTCAGGCGCGTCAATGCCCACAAATTCTTTTTGGCGGTGGTTTTGGCTGTTTCTTCTAACCTCCAAAAGTAGCTCCTTGTAACTTTCATTTATTTCATCGTGTACAGGGTTTCAGGTAATGGTAATAAGACAGCTATCAATCTGGGTATATTACCCTGCATTTACCAATTATTACTTGAGCACTTGTTGGATGTGAGATGGTAAATGACCAACGAGGTGCGTAGCGCTGAGTTCGCTAGAACCAATCTCGAATCTAACAAGCGCGAATGGAATAACTTTTTTCTATAAAATTTCATTCAATCCTGAACGCTTGAATATTTGGAGCTTTATTTTAGCTCCGCCACAGTTGGTGCAATGCATTTCCATGTAAGATGACTCGCAATAGGAGCTGATAACCGGAGTTAAGTGAACCAATCAGAACCTTAAAAACGCAATATTCGGAGTTGAAAATTTAGTAATACAGGATAACCGGCTTAGATTGCAAGCTGTATTGCCTTAATGATTAAAACTATGCTTTCCGAGAGAGCTTCATCTCCTCTTGTACTTTTGATGTTTTAAGTGTGCCGAACAAAAATAAAAAGCAATAAACAACAGATGTTGATTTTTTTTTCGGTAGGCGTTAATTTTTTTATTGTGTTGCGCGCAAACGTAAATATTTGTCCTCCTCGTGGATTTTTTTAGTCTTCTCGGAAAGGTATCGGTAGTATGGATTCATCGATGGGTTGAGATATTCGTTCTTTTTAAGAGGATATGTCCTTTTTTCCGTAACCTATTCCCAAGTATTTCACGCGTTGAACCATATAGGTTTAAAGCTAGAGTCATACGTTATGCACTATATAGTTCAAATAAGCTGTTATTAGTATATATTGCTTCGGTTTATCAGAAACTGCGTGATTGAAGACGATAAGTTTGTCGTAGGAAATCAAAGATGCCCTTTTGGAAAGACGCGATGAGCTGAAGAAGAACATAATTAAGGTGAAATTTCGTCTCGCTGTCAAGGTAAATGGATTTGATGACACAAACAGTTGTTCCTGTTGTTTGTTTATTATCGAGATAGCTTTCCTAAGGATGGTTGGATATTTACCACTTTAAATTATAACATAGCTAGTAAATTTGTCTAATCAAATTCAATTGCGCGAGCGTGCTTCATATTCCTATTGTGCACGCTCATGACGTTAGCAAACAAATCCCTCGAGAAAAAAATTTTTCCATCTGGTTGAAAATGTTATAAAACAATTGGTTCATACATCAACTGTGCGTTCATCGAGATATGAAGCACTTGGAAAGTTTGGAGAGCACTCAAGAAGCTAGAGTTGCTCTCGGCTACGCCTCGAGCAACTCTTACGCATCTTTCGTGCTCTCCAAACTTCCCGCGTGCTTAATATCTCGATGAAGGCACGCTGACGTATGAACCAATTGTTAAGCTTCAGGTATATTTACTTTCCTTTTTTTATGGGTGTGTTGTTTTATTTCTTCTTTTTTCTTTTGTTTTGTTTGTTTGTGTTAGTCTGTATTTGTTTTTGTAATTGTCTTGTAAACGCTTTTTTGTAGAAATTCCTTAGTATAGAGTTGCGCATCCTTTCCGTGTAGTTTCCACGTGTGAGTTATAATAGTAAATTAGTAAAACAGCGGTTTATAGTATGGCCTGAGCCTCAGTAGGCAAATCGATATTATCATATATTTTCCTGCAATTGAAACCGGTGACCTCCTCCCAAACTGCCTTGAGTTCCCAAAGTATCCGGTACATGACGGCCGGAGAGATAAATAGGGTTTCGCTTTCGATACTATTCATACCTTTCTCCGTTTTTTCAAGTCTCGCACAATTGTCATACTATTCAGTAAAGGACTCTTAGAATGATGGGCATGATACAAGGAAAAATCAATGGCTTTGATGTCTTTTTTTTAATATATCTTTCCAGTGTACCATGCGTGGCTGTCAAGTTTGCAAAGTTTGAAGCAAAAAAGAAAAAAAACCTTTAAAAAGCTAAAAATCAAAAAAAGAAAAACAGCCAAATAAAAAATCTGGATAGCATATTCATCACAAGGGAATCATCTTGAACTCAACTAACTAGCTATATCAACTAAGTCCGATTTGATGAAACCATAGCAAACCATCGTTTATCAGTCATGTAGCTGAATTAAAGTCCGCTGCAAGTCGAGAGTCAATCCGTCCGTCTGTCCGTCCATCTTTACGTACGTCTTTCTGACAGCCCTTTTGTCCATCGTTTGTTTTGCTCCTTCATTCATTCCTTTTTGCTTTCCTCTCTCCTTCTCTTTACTTTACGGTTGAAGTTTTGTTCTTTTACCAATTAGGGAAAAGGAACCAAAACCATTAAGGCAGGTAATCAAAGATCATCTTATTTTCGACAACTTTGCTTAGCGCTGAAGGAGACCCACAGAACAATGGAGGAAGCAGGTAATTTTGTCGTCTGCTGTTACTCGCACATGAATTGTTTTCATGTTATTGGTTTGTTGACGGATAAAGTTGATGTAAAACTTTTTTTCATATGCAAGGGTATGCTTTTTCTTAAATTGTTTCCGCTAGCTTCGTGGAGAATACGAAACGAAAACAATGGGATGATTTTTTACACGTTATAATGATCTGTTATAAAACAAAAACAACAATAGAATCAACAGAAGCAACGGAGTTGAAATCGAAGCAAAACCATGAAACACAAAACAAACGCTGAAGAAAACAAACTATCAAACTCTAAAAACAAACATATTGGCTGCAAAAATAATTATCTAGTGGGGTGGTAGTTGAATCATCTTATCGTATTTTGTTGTTCTAGTTAAGAAGTGTGAGGAGGAGGCGAGAGAAGAAACAAATGATAAACAGCATGTTGATAATGCCTTAGAAGGAGTCAGTAGTTTATCATTGCGCGTCGAAGGAGAAGATGACGTTAGTTAAATGTTCTTGTTCTTGATTAGATATTTTGTAATGTTTTGTTCCATCGTACACGTATAATCTCCAAATTTAGACTAATTTTTTCGTCTGAGGTACATATTCTAATCTTGGCCTTTTCCTCTCCCCTCTCTCTTTCTTCCCTAAGGACCCGACCAAGGACCAAGAAGCAGAGTTTGTACTCGAATACATTGAGAACTTTTTCGAGGTTGGTTCTAGGTTCGTAATGTGGCAAACATTGCATGCGTCAGTTCGGCATTCAACGAGATACAAAGTCTGGTTAAGCGTTATGACCACTTAAGGTGCTGAAGTTTCTCTCAGCAGCTCCTGGTGAAAATGTTGGCCATATTTCGTGTCCTAAAAATCCTACAAATCTCCCGTGTACTGAATATCTAGATGCACACACGTTGGTGCAAAAAGCAACTGTTGATAAATATACACAGAAAACTTACACCAGCACTCAAATAAGCATGTTGTATTTAGTAATTTACCGGCAAACTTTCATTCAGCTACCTTTTTTTCTTCTGAAGAGAAGGTTGAATCCCTAATTTGTCACGTATAGCTGGAGTTATACTTCAATAATGCTACATCCCATGTTATAAAGACAGGCACCTCCATGGACACTTTCAAACCGTAATTTCCCTGAACTTTACTGTCTTGAAATTCTTATTACTCACCGCGTGATCCAGGTAAACTTGAACCACATCCTTTTTCTTTATAAAGTTATTGGGGCACTGCTATATTTTACAGGTTTATGAAGAGGGAAAAATAGAGGATGCTGTCATGTTGGCTGCACATTCCCCCAAGGTACAAAACAACGAGATGAAGTAATATTTGTGTAACCGCCAGGCCTAGGGTAGCATACCATTCAGTCTTTTTCGTTCTTGAAACCGAAACGATAGTATTTAGTCAAAATGGAAGACGCCACACCACATCGATCACTGACGAATGTCACATAATTATGACTATTGTATACGGTAGGAATTAGTTATAAATATCGTGTCAAAAAGTGTGAGGAGCAGTAACTATAGCGTAAGACATTTCTCTAAAATTTTGGCCCAGAGGACGCTAGTTCAAAGACACCTACATTTGTTTACTTCTAAGGGTGTTTTAAGGTCGATGGAGACTCTTGCAAAGTTTGAAGAATACGATGCAACTCATATAGGCAGGTAAAAGTTACATTTGATGGCGTCTACTTGAAGCTATAGATGAAATCCACATTGTGCTGGCAAGTCCAAATAATCAATTCTTTTAAAGAAAGAATCGAAAAAATTGTTGTTTCTGGAATTTTGTGAAATGTATGATGATTTGGGATATATTCTCTAACCCCGGCCGTACTAATGTCTGCAAGTAAGTAAATGATTAAAAGACATTTAGAGTTACGATTTACAGCTCTTTTTGACGGAACAATGTTAAACCGAAACTATATTTTTCAAAACCCAAACTTTATACAGCTAATAAAAACGACGATGAGAACCAAGCGCAGGAAATTAAAAAAAAAACAAAAAACAAAAAAAGCACGTCTTCGTTGAAGTTAACATCTGTTTGGTTAAGTTTTTAAAGCTAGTTTTAAAGCGTAATTAAGCAAAGCCAACGTAGCCCTTGATCACAAATTGAGCACTCAGTCATAACTCAATCAAGACACGCTGTAATGGGAAATGGTGCAGTAATTTTTATTGTATATTACAATAATTAATCATGCTCTTTGCTATTTTCATCGGTCATAAATGGCCCATTTCCGAATTACCATTGGCCTCTTTTTCACGTGCAAATGAATTTCATTTTCACGCTAATGGTTGAACGCCAGGCCTCGTTTTGAAAGAGGTCAAAGGTAATTTGGACATGGCCTATTCATTGCATTTTGTTGAACCTTCTTTATCATTCAGTTCAGTTTTGATGTCCTACTGGGAAGCTCTTCTTCCAACAGTTAGCACTGGCTGTAAAAAACCATCTCAGTGGGAAACTTTGGAGTGTGTCAGATGTGTCTTAGCGAGAGGTGCGTTAAAAAGGCAACCTTGTTGACACTAGCGTCCCTCAATCGGCACGTTTTCGTGCGTCATCGATCTTTGTTGCAGGGCAATATAAATATCTCTTTGGAAATCGCCTTGGTGTGTTATCCTTTGTTAGGAAACTGAAGCGTTATACATTGACCTGAAAGGACTTGCATGTTCGTTACTCGCTGATTATTTGGTTCTAAACGGAAAAGGAGAAACGAGACAGCAACCCCTTTGGATGCAGAACACTTAGCTCTCTTACCTCAGGAAGTTGGCCCTAGTTTCTTCTCCTTTATGCCCCCCTAGTTTTTTAATTCAAGCTTCAGATGGCATGTTGATTAGTAATGGTAATAGGTACGAGTGGAGTCCAATTCGCTGTAATAATTCGCGGTCGTCCGATTTTGTTAATCACGTGTATGATTACAGACAGAATTGAACGATACGAAGTCCTGCCACCAATTAATCATAATCGTTACAATTTCCGAAAAAAAAAAACATTTAGGAGAGACAATGCCTAGAGTAAAAATACTTATATTTTGGAAATTCCCCATTTTTTTCAGGATAAGTGCTTGTTGCTATGATTATTGTGATCAAATCTGTGATTTGTGAATTTAGCTGAGTGGACTTAGTTTGATTGGCTGCTTCAACTGTCCGATTACAGGTGTCCGATTACAGCCAACTGTCCTATTTCACTGATCGATTATAACTGTACAGAATGGTTAGAGAAAAATTAGGCAGCAAATGCACCAATCACATTTGAGGAAATTGTGATGATCACAGTGGTTCTGATAAATCTCGTAACAATACCTGTTCCGTCTCCTTATTGTCTCATTAATAATTGTGTTGTCACTTATTATTATTTTTTCTCATTTGCTATACTAGGGAGAACTGATCTCCTTACTCACTGGATTGCACAGAATCAGGTAAACCAAGAAAACCGAACTTTTTTTTTTAATAATTTGGTGATGAGGTCGAAACTCTCTCGCATGGTACTTGATGAGGGTGAAGCCCTAGTCAACTATCCACATGGTTACCGGTCACCTCGCCACCAAGCAGACTCGCCACCAGCGAACTCGCCACCAAGGAACGATCTCGCCACCAACGTACTCGCCACCAAGCGAAGTCTTCTCGCCACCAACCACCAATAAAGAGATAAACTAGAATAAAGAAGTCGAGGAGAGTAGGATGTTCGAACGAGCACAATTCAAATCGGCCGATACGTTTGTGCGCTTGTCTGTATTTAAATTATGACCTTCAGCGACGTGTTAGATGTGTTCCGTTCCTAACTCATTGACATCGAAACGTATCGTGTTTGCACGTAAGCGAGGAGAAATTGCAAAACTCGATGCGAGGAATAAAAACTTACTTGAGAGAAAATGAAACTTCATGAGAAGAAATAAGTGATGAAATGAAACTCGATAGCAGTTGTATTAAAACTAAATGCAAGAAATTGTCAAGTCGGTGCGAGAAATTGTAAGCGTCGATGGACTGAAGCTTTCCTAAGGCAACTACAGTTGTTTCCCAAGTAGAGTTAATAGTTCGAACCCAGCGAACAAACTTATCGGTTTCGAACGTGCTTTCGACAACATACGTTTATAAAGTTTGAGTACAGACAAGCGAACAAACTCATCGGTTTCGAACGTGCTTTCGACAACATACGTTTATAAAGTTTGAGTACAGACAAGCGAACAAACTTATCGGTTTCGAACGTGCTTTCGACAACATACGTTTATAAAGTTTGAGTACAGACTTATCAGCTGAACATCCTACTGTCCTCGACTAATCTCTTTATTGGTGGTTGGTGGCGAGAAGACTTCGCTTGGTGGCGAGTACGTTGGTGGCGAGATCGTTCCTTGGTGGCGAGTTCGCTGGTGGCGAGTCTGCTTGGTGGCGAGGTGACTGGATACCATCCACATAGAATTAACGATTAATGCTGTTTAAGTTTAAATCCAATAGCTGTTTAAAACTAAGACTTGACAGCAAGACAAGCTCTTTTTTATGTACTTTTTTTACTACTAGTTTTTTCTATTACAACCTGCAGTGTAAGGCTGCTCAATATCACGGAATCGATAAGAGAACAAAAGGACCCTTATTCTCTCCTGATAGCAAGTAGCGTTGCTTATCAAATTGCAGCTTTTGTAACGGAGTGATAGCACAGTTTTACACTTGTTTGTTGGCCGATTAGCGCTAACCCAGGGTTAAGTTTTAATCTGGGTTACTTTATTTCTTTCTTTCCAAACTAAAGCAGCCACACCCATAATGATGTCCTTAAAAAGATAGTTTCTACGCTATTTTGATTGGTTAATTGCTCTGTAATTTATGCTGTGCCTTTCTTTTTGACAGTTAACTCTCTCTGAAGAGGCTGGAAGACTAATATCTGAAGCTTGCAGATGCCCGAACAGGTACAAGCAACGCCTTAATATAATTTTCTGCCAAAGAAAACTTTCTCTAAGAGATGATATTAAACGTTAATAAATAGGAGTTTACGCATGCCCTTTTTGGTAACGAGAGAAAACAAGAATTCAACACCCGCCTTCTGTATACGAATATATACTTGTTTTGATTTTTCCCTCTACAACGAACAACAGAAAATTTGAATTTTATTTTTCCTGGTGTACTTAATCAATTTCATGATTAGAAACAAGAGTTGTTGCCTGAGAATTGTCATTCAAATGACCAATCAATTGAAATAATAGACAGGAAACTTGATATTGTGTCATTTGACTTATTGATATTGAATTACTTCCTGAAGTTCGTTTTGTGATGTGGTGCCATATCTAAAAAGGCACACATGAGATGGAAGAAAGTCAAGGACTTTCTTCATAAGTTTAATACCTCATTAAATCAAGAAATAATTTTTGTATAGGAAGTTATGTTGTGTCTACTGTTTCGAAACCTGAGGTTATTGTAGGTTTTTTTTGGCTTTTTTGCAATAATTTGTTATGCACTGTTTTAATAAGATTTACACAAGAGCTTGTTCGACTGTGTGAGCCACGTGGTTCGAAAATAGAAAAGTGGACAGGATGTCCCACAGACTTGCGTGTCGCAATTGCTGATGAACTGTTCGTTTACTAATTTGCTTTCGTTGTTCAATATTGTAGGGAAAGAGCTAAAATTCTGACTTCGCTTCTGGTTTTTCCGCCACATGCATCTTTAGGCTAACTGGGCTTATTAGCATAGGGGAAAATAAAATGAGGGTTTGAGTTCATGAAATTGTTAATTTACATCTCGTTAAAAAAACCATGATTATGATATTTTTCGATTTGACGAAAGAAAGCAAACTTCATGAATTGTAAGCATAGTTTTCTTTTTGGAGGCCTAGTTTCCAATTCAGTGAAACAATTTTTAAGGATCCAATTAACAAGCATTACCTTTTGAAGTTTAGCCAGCATAGTGTCGCATACTTAAATTTCCTATGTTTATTTTCCATCTGCTGGGAATAAAACTGACATTTTAATAAATGTTATAGTACTCAGATATTTTGGTAACCTGGTTTTTAATTTGAATCTGATGGTTAGGTTTTGATGAATTTACCACTACAAGATTGTGTTGATTATGAGAAGTGAATGAGAAATGCAAGTACGAGTTTATTCTATCACGAATTTTATTCTCAAGCGTTTAAAGCTTTTGAATAGCGACGATGTTTTGAAGGGGAGAACACGCCAGCGGTTAGGCAAATAATTTGAATAAACTTAAGAAAACGAATTTTAGATGAACGAGTTAATGTTAAACTAAAGTGCCTTTATAAAGTTCACTGCATATCAAGAAAGTGGGTATCAGCCATGCCCATGCCGTTATTTGTGGCAAACTTTTAACTATCCATATTTAAACATAAAAATGCCATAAAATATGTAAGGTCACGTTTAACTCACTTTCACGTCATTTTTTAAACATATAATTCAAGGGAGCACGTACCTTGCAATGAAACGGAATTAAAAACCCTACTCGTTGACGCCCAAGATCACGTACCGGGGTAGATATAGCTTTAAAGATTTAAACTTTGTGAATTACTAAAGAAAAATATTTTTCTTCCTTAACAACTGGACTAAGTCCAAAACTCATAACTTCTCACTAGCTAATTACAGCTACATAACTCTCTAAGGTTGTTGTAAATTGTATGTCACTCTCCTGTCAAGTGGGTGGCAGATAGTTGATTCACTAGTTCATAATTCTACATTTGATTGCATTTGCCCTAATTATCACTGTATTCTAACAGGGTTAGAAAGCTTTTAATAAAAGATAGACAGATCTAGAGTTATTTCTTCGTAACAGTATTTTCCTTCCAAAGTCACACCAAAACAGAAATATATTATTTATATGCTTTTCCTCAAACAAAAAATTTCCTCAAAACAATGTTGGTTCTAAGGGTGTCTGTACTTAAAATGTGGTGAAATTTCCTTTCATCAGAACTAGCAAATATTCATAGCGCTTCCGAGTTTTTTTTTTGTGTAACACTAACGTTTTAGCACTTTGACCACAGTCAAAACTAAAATTTAAAACATCCGTTTGAAGCTTTGTGAAATGTAACGTGGTCACTTACTTCATTATTTTTGTCTCTGTGACATATTTTCAATTTACATCGCGGTTCTGGTTCTATATATATATATATTTTTTTTTTTAGCAGGGTGGCCATATTTAAGCAAAGAATGATTATTTTTCTCTACTATATTGAAACAGTTGCTCTGTCAAAAGGAAACTTTCGATAAGAAATACAGGTCTGTTGGTTCCGCATGGTGTGTTTAACTAAGAGCATAACGTGGACATTAATTATCAGAATTTTCTTGTTTCAAGTTTTAAGCCACGCGAGCATACAAGGAAATAGAACAGACCACACAAGTGGCAAATTTAGACAACTTGATCGAGCGGCCTTTTGACATATTTGCTTTTTACTTATTTAGCCTGCATATTCAATTTCCTTGAGTAGTTTGGGTTGGTTTCCAAAGTGAATAAGAAAAGAAAATCTCATAGGAAATGCACGCGTTTGAAGAAAAGTTTTATATAAAGTTCGCTTTAATTTTTATTATAATTTTTAAGAGGAAAAATACCAGTTTATTCTAATTACATACGTAAAAGGTTAGCAGAACATCACCTTCTGTTCATATGTTCGTTGTCTTCTCTCGTTTTTGTTTGAATTGAATAATTTATCAAGTTGTCTCGTATCCAATAGTTAAGTATTAGCATAATGGAAGATCTGCACTTCAGTTAACAATTATTCGGTCGCATTTCGTGGCCCGTAGCCCATGTTGAGTTTCCTACAGCAAGTCGAAATTTAAAATTTGTTTCCTCTTCAACGTTGTTGTTAAAAAAGAACTTAGTCTGGGAGGTCAATGCATCTCCTCTCGAGACTCAATGTCAATAGCGAAGTGCGAGGAAATAAGGCGTTTTGCCATGAGTTCTACATTACCGCAGCGGAATTTTCCTATAAATGGAAGCACTGCCGAGGTTTCCTTGACCCGTTTTTAGTATCAGAGACGTTCTCACATTCTGATGAGTCTGATGAAGCGATGACGTGCTTCATGTTCCAATTATTTATTATACACCATTTCAAACTGCGTCACGACTAATATAATCGGAGGACAAACCGAATTTTCTGTTGAAAAAGAAACTTATCCTGATTAACGATAACTTTGGCCCATTTATCTCGGCGTAGTTAGAAACTGAAAAACATACAAATTGGACCTAGCTTGACACTTTGCCTCGCAAATAAATTAGCGACTTGTTATTTGTTATGTTTAATCCCGCATGCAAAGACTGAAAGGCGTCTGAAAAGTCCATAGACATATTTTTGAGGATTTTCAACATAATCCCCTAAGAAATCTGCTTAGCCCTCTGCAAGCAGAAATTTCGTTGTCTAAAAGAAAAGATGTTTTCTATACTCGATGAAACATATTTTAATCGGTTTCGAAACTGAGAAATAAACGCTCAATTACCTCAAGCTCAATGGCAGGTGTAAATGCCGACTTATGTAAAATTAACGAAGTAACCCAAATCCCCTACGCATCGTAGGCTGACAGATGATTGGTTTTACGCTACACATTTTAGTAAACGGCTTTGTAAGTTCGAGAGGAGCCGAAAGGAAAGCTCGAATCCGTTCAGATGCACAGCAATCGTGAGTATCCGTGGGATGTGGTTTGGGACTATTTTTGTATTACACCTACAAAAGTCATATAACTGTCAGGACAAAAAATTCAATGCGGAAGCTCACGAGAATAAATACCGGTGTCCTCTAATCATGTAATACTAGTCAGCTTTGGTTCAGCAGCTCTCTGTAACCAAACGGTGTTCTCCAGGAAAAATAGGCTCTCGTTTAGAAAAGAAACATGACAGGGAATGGGTCTTACACAACGGACCTGACAGCTTTCGAAAGTTACTTCCTCGCTAGCGTGAACGTTTTTTTTAGTCTGTGCGGTATCTTGGGCAATGTGCTCGTTATCGTTGTGATAGCCCGTAGCCGGCAACTTCACACCGTCTCTAACACGTTCATAACGAGTTTAGCAGCAGCAGATCTCCTTGTTTGCGTCGTTTCGCAGCCCATGAACGCAGTGTTCCTGTATGGCTTGCCACCTAATACAACATACGGCAACACGCGAAAGATGTTTTCATTTGTCTCCCTTTTGGCATCAATCAGCAACTTAGCTGCCGTGACCATCGATCGCTACGTCGCTATCGTTAATCCAATGCAGTACCAGCTCAGAGCCAACTTCAAGAGCGCCTCTTTCCTCCTCTGCGCCATTTGGGTCGTGTCTTTGGCGCTGGGAATACCGAGCGGTTTCGTACGATCTATTCAACATATCACGGTGTACTATGTAATTGCACTCTTGTCCGTCATAGCTCCGATCTATGTGCGAATTTATTCAATCGCTCGCAGTCAAAGGAGGCTCATCGCTAGGCAAGGGGAGCACATCAAGAGGGATTTAAAAAACAAAACCGGAAAGGAAAATATAGCAGCAAAAACCATTGGGTTCGTCATAGTCGTCTTTATCATTTGCTGGTTGCCTTTGCTCATAACTCCGATGATTTTCCGTCACAGTGAGGACAGCCGCATTGTCAGAAAGTCTTTGAAATGGGTTCAGACTCTCGCTTTATGCTCGTCAGCCTTGAACCCTGTTATTTATAGCCTGAAAACGCAGATTTTCAGAAAGGAATTGAGAAAAGTTTTCAGGAGCGCTCTCAAACGACATTCTCGGGCAGACCAACAGATAACATATGTCTAAAAACTCGTTTGCAAATAAATAGTGATTTTCCCTTAAGTTGATTTTGCTTAAACCATTATTTTGTCGCAATAAACTGTCTCGATTGATATACATGCAAGACTGTACATAACTTTTACTTGAGTTGTCGGCGAAACATGAAATTCGTCTAGTCGAATGACACCAAACTTATTCGTTCGTCGTACTTAGAAAGCAATTATCATATTTCAACGATGTTAGGCTTTTATGTTTTGTAGATTTGGTCGACTCTTAGTTCTTTAGGTGGCGCTCTTGGTACTTGAGTCATATTTTTGACGTCTATTTGAGTGGCTGTTGGTTAAAGGTCACTTTGAGAGTCATCGCTAAAATATGTATGAAAAACATTTAGAAGAGTAAACGCTCAAAAAGAATATTTCCTCTCTGCCTTTTGTGTCAATCACCCACCTCTTTCTCTGCAGGATAGCCTTGTGAAATGTTACCCGGCTTCTCTTTTAAGATGTTTTGTTTCTTTCTGACTGCATATCTTGTTCCGCGATTAAATATACATCATGCAAGGAAGTAAAAACGGCAATTTTTTTTTCAAATGTTTGGAGATTTGCGTAACTTTTGTTTCTTTGGTTTTGCTCCCTGGTCTAATAAAGGTTGCCTTTGTATACTCCAACATTATGAAATAACTAGTGAAGGCTTTCAATAGTACAAACTATCCTAACTGACTTATAATTATGATCGAGGCACTAATAACACATATTTTGATCTGCCCATCTTTGATGCAAATCGGGCGAAATTTTTTGAAAATTTAAAAATTGGTTCTCAGTCGACTCCACGATATCTGTACGTTGATGACTGATGGGAGGAAATTAAAATAATCCACCTACGGAATTTAATGTGTGGCTATACAAAAAAAATTTTGACATATCATCAAATACGACTAGTCTACCTTTTAGAAATGCTCATCTGAAACCTTCATGGACATTTTGCATAGCTAAAGCTGAATTTTTTTTTTTTAATATTCCGCATATGCTAACTTGAAAATTCTGATCACGTATAGATATGTAATTAAATGATGGATCAGTCTTAAACCAGACATTGATGACAGTTTAAGTAAAGTTATTCATGAATTTTACTTATCAACTAAGGAATTGATTCCCTACTCGAATCTTCTATTCCATCATAACCTAAATTATCCGTAATCTATTCACTCTTACGGAAAATTGGCAAGAAATTGAGGTTCGTTATTTCATCACAGTTTATTTCGGTGGTCCATGTACCATTTTAACCGTCGTTACCCCTTCAATGAAATCTACTATCGACGTCAAACGAATCACCGGGCTAATGGGTCTGGGTTAATGCCAAACAGAAAGTATAAATATATTTGCATCTAGTGTCAGTTGACTGATTTAAAAATCAAAATGCGTAAGAATTTGATGATCAATCTTCAGTTCAATTGAGGCGTTTTTTTTTCTATTCAAGAATGTTTTCATGAGCATGGTGTGTGTATGTGTTTACTACCTTCCGTGGTAGCCTCCGTGGAAATACTTATGAAGATAGCTGAAGACTTCGTTTGAATTACTACCTTAATAACCTAATATTTGAAGTTCTTTTACCGACAACTTGAAGGTTTTCTTCTACTGATGATTTTTTTTTCTTTTTTAGTTAGCTTGTTTTTGTGTTTGCTTTCGTCTGTAATTCTAAGTTTGACGTATTTAGATCATCTTTTTAATTCTAACTAAACCTGCCATTTAGGAGTTTTTTCTTGTTTTTGTTTTGTTTTGTTTTTTTTTTGCATTTACACTGCAATGGACACCTTAACTCTGGGGATGATATCTGGTCAGTGAAGTGCCAGTTACAATTATATTTAAGGAATTTTTAGCCCGTTACTTCTCTTAGTCGCTGTTCCGGCGAATGCTTGGTCATGAACATTAACGCCGTTCGTTGGGACAGTGGAACAAAACATTGCATGCTAGAATTTAAAGTATTAACTAATTAATATTTGAATAGGTCATATCAGTTGGTTAGTTGTCGTTCAGCAGTTGCAGAGTTCGGACAAAAAAAAACCGGAAAGTTTAGTTGCTGCGTTTTCGTTTTCGTTTTCGAATTTTGTAATAGTTGTAGAATTTATCGTCGAAACACATTTTGGTTCCTTCGAGCCGGATTAAGTTACAGTTCATTCTTCGAATGGAATCGAAAGACGGATCTAAAACGCCCTCGAAAATCGGCAAAGAGAACATCGAAACATGGACCTCGCAGCAAATCGAGTATCTTCATCGGAGAAGGGCAACGTTCAAAGGAGCCATAACGAAGAATTCAAAGAAGGCTAAGGATATTATTAGCAAGAAAGGTAGCAGAACGGTACTATTAACCATAAAGGAAAGAGTTTTTCAAGCATTACAAGATGCCTTGCAAAGGGATGATGTGACTAAGCGAGCAGAATCAGAAGAATGGTTAGACAATTAGCTGAGCGAAGAAGAGGACATCGCCGACTCTGTTAGGGAGTATTTAGAAAGCCGTGTAGATAAACTGCCATTAGTAATAGGAGAGTTTTCCGATGCAGTTAGCGAACTTGACGACATGGAAAGTCGGAATCGTCTGATGATTCGCTAGTTGTCTTCACAGCACAGAAGTTCGTCGAATTATTGTCGAAATCTGCACAGTCCAAAAGGAATAAATCAGCTCCTAAATTCAGCAATAAAGATTATGACTCGGTAGAGAAAGGAAGTGAAGAAGACGAATTAGACAAAGACAAACTCAACTCGAAAGACTTTGACAGATTGTTCAAAGGAATCAAGAAACCCGCTTTAACCGTCTTCAGTGGAGATAAAGACTTTTATCACGATTGGAGAGCGCAATTTGAAATATTCGCGAATCGGATGAAAGTGCCAGCTAAAACCAAGATGATGATGTTGAAAAATTCTCTATCTGGCGAACCATCACGAGTTGTTGAGCGGTTAGGATACACATCTAGACAATATCAAACTGCCTTGGAGAAACTTGAGTAGAAGTACGTAGGTGAAAAGCGACTTTTATAACGTCACCTCGAGGCCATTTTGTGTGCGTCTTCTGTCGAAGAGATTAAAGGAAAGGAGTTGGAGATTTTTTCGGATCGTTTCACTGACGTTGTGGCTAAGCTTGAGGATAGCGACCGGTATCAAGAGCGAGCAGGAGTATCTGCACTTTACATCGCGGTGCAACAAAAGTTACCAGAGTCTCTTCTTATCGTGTACTAAGAGTGGTTGCTCAGGAAGTCCAGGAAGGCTGGACAGAGGCAAGTTGTTTGTCGCATGGGTGTCGAAGAAGTTAAGGAGCGAACAAGGAAAAAGAAAGAGATTGAATGACGCGATGCTTACGAGATGTCCTGGAGATACTTCTCCAATTTAGACTGAGACGTGTCGCCCTAGTAGCGGACATCAAGGAAATGTTTTCCCAAGTAGCCGTCTCTTAGAAAGACCGCAAGTATCACAGACAGAGCTTCCTCTTATCTCGCCCAGTTGGTGCTTCGCAGCCACGCCTAAGACTTTAAAGAGAACTACCCTGCAGCGGCTATGGTCCTGCTTCGAGATATGTACATGGATGATATCCTGCACTCAGAAGAAACTGTAGAAGACGCCTTTCTCGTCCTTGAAAATTTGACAAAGGTCCTGGGTGGCGCTGGTTTCTGTGCCCAAAAGTGGTAAGAAATCCCACAAGAGGGTCGAGAATGGAGTAAAGCTTCACAACTCAGAACTACCAAGTGTCAAGACATAAGGAGTCCGTTGGAATGCGAGTGAAGATGTTTTCACGTTTGTTGTCAAAGAAAGCAAGCTGTCCTTTTACACGAAGCGAGGCCTGTTAAGTCATATTGCCACACTGTTTGATCCATTGCAGTACTTGGCGCCATACATCATCAGGGCAAAACTGGCTTTACAAGAAGCCTGGTTGCCAGGTCCTGGTTGCGAGTTTCCAGATGATCTAAAGTTGATCACTTATCAGTGGGCCAAACAGTTGCCCAAAGCTCCACAGGTCAAAATCCCACGTTGCTATCGACAGCACGAGGAAGCAGTGGAAGACGTCACACTTCATGCATTCGTTGACGCGTCAAGACTAGCCTATGCAACAGTAAGCTACGCCAGATACGAAAACGCGAGTGGACAGATCTCAGTTGCCCTAACACCGATGAAATCCGTCAGCGTCCCACGCTTTGAGTTAATGGCAGCAGTACTCGGAGTGCTGTTAGCTGAAACGGTCTCTGAGAAGCTAGAAATTCCGCTAAGTCAACACACCCAGTGGACAGATAGTATGGACGTAATCTACTGGATCCAAGGTCACTCAAAACGACTGAAATCGTTTATTGCTAATCGAGTAGCCGAAATTCAACGAAAATCGGACCAAGCTCACTGGCGACATGTACTAGGAGAACAAAACCCCGCTGACGACGCAACAAAAGGTCAGGACCTGAAAAACCTTATCCGCTAAAAGCCGCTGGTTCCAGGGACCTGCCTTTCAACATGATTAGGCGACATCCTGACCTTTAGAAAGTCGCCTTTGTTTGAATTATTGCAGTGAAGAAGGTAAACAATAGCTGGCTAAAATCAACCTCATGTTTCAATGCAAGCAGCCCCTGCCCTTGTTTGACATCGAGAAGTTTTCTTCCTGGCGTCGATTGTTAGGAGTTACAGCTTGGATCTTAAGATTCATTTCCAAAAGTAAAAGGGCAAGACTTCAGAAAAGCCAGGTGACCGGAAACAAGCAAAACGACTTACTGAAAAAAGTCCTAGAACCGGAGGAAATCAGTAACGCCAAGAGAGGTACTGAGTTCGAGAAACTCAAAGAGAACCCTTTTTGGAGGAATTGACAACCTTGAGAGGAGGAGAAAGTGTCTCGAGAAGCAGTCCGCTGTGGAGATTGTCTCCATTTGTGGACAGTGACGGAATCTTACGTGTGGGTGGGAGACCAGAAATGTCCAATCTACCTTGCGGATGCCAAACACCCTGTCATATTACCGAAGAAACATCACTTCTCAAAACTTGTCATCGCACCTATCCATAATCAAGTTCATCGTAGCCTCGCTCGCTGAACTACGACAGAAGTACTGGATTGTCAATGGGGGAGAATACATTAAGCCATGGAAACGAGCGTGCAATGTCTGCAAACTTGGAAGGTGTTTCGCTAGACACGAAATTACTGAAATTATCGTCATAATTATTATGAAGTGACGTAACAATCTGTTATTAGTAAGACAAAATTAAATGACAACTAGTCGCGGAATTTGAGACACCAACGGGTATGTATACGTTACTTGATGTGCTTGATTATCCTGACAATCTTTCTGACAGAAACATATATATTTCTACTAGATTTCGAATAGATTTGAACTTGTACAGAGATAAATAACAGAAAGAATAAAGTGTACATTATTTGGAACCTTGGTATTTGGCGGCTAGCAGTTCAGAAGGAAACGCAGAGGTGAACAAATCATGGCACCCCTAGCTGAAGCCAGACCTGGCACTTCATTACGATGTTTTACTCATTGTGGAGTCGATTTTGCTGGCCCCTTGGCACTGCATCCTAGAATTTTTTAGTCTTAATTAATATTCGAATCGGTCTGATCAGTTGGTTAGTTGTCGTTTAGCAGTCGCAGAGTTCGGGAGGAAAAAAAAAACTACGTTTAATTGCTGCGTTTTCGTTTTCGAATTTTGTAATAGTTGTAGAATTTATCGTCGAAACAGTCGCTGAACACGTGCCGCTGTAGAACTATTATATAATTTTAGGGCTTATCTTAGATGTAACCAGCCTTTGGTAGAGATACAACTGTCTTGGTGTTGTGATTAATTACAAGAACAGCTGAAGAACTATTTTAAGCCTGAAGCCACCAAACCATTGTTCTCCTCTGACTACAGGAGTTTCGTATTCAAGAGAGGGATTTACCCCACCGTAATACAGAAATCTATCTATTATATTGCAAAACTTCTATTGTTCCACTGGCATGAAAGTTTGGTCAGCTGACTTAACAGAGCTTTTTTCACCTTTTGTTGGCTCAACAGGCCCTTATTCATTTTGATAGATCCCTCTTTTGGCAGAAATTTGACCACATGACTTGAGTTATTGAAGTGTAGCCCCTGGAGTCTGTATAGAAGTATTACGAGATCGTAAGATATAGGGTGAAAAAGGTTATTTTGATTAAGGCTCATTAAATTGAAGTGAAATCATGAACGTGCAGATGATCACGTAGTCACCGCACATGTGGTAGGGCGAATTAGACGGATTTGTGACTAAGCGCCTGTTGATGATGAAGTAAAGACTAGCTACTATCGACTTTTTTAAACCGATTGTCTCGTCAATGAGAATTTTGGGAATCAGTTTTGTTTTCAAAAATATCAATGCTAACATGAAAGTCTTCTGGATAATTTAGCCAATATCCAGCAAAATCATAGGGATTATGTAAAACCCTACCTTACTTAGCTTGCCCCAAAAACTTTCTGATATATTCCTGTTTCCGACTCTCCAATGCTCTCCGTAAACAAACAGGAGACATATACTCAGGGTTTGTAAGTAGAGGATTGCTCTGTGATTGCAATAGTTCCCTCTATGATTGTAGAAATTTGTTTAAGATATCGAAAGGAAATTTTTTTTCGTCTAAAATGAATAACAAAAAAACCGAATATTATTTTACCTGCTGGGCTTAATCGATTTTCTGATTAGAAACAAGAGTTTAATCGATATTATTAAATGTGGGGTTTCTCGCACTAAGATGAAAAAACGAAATATTTTCTCTATCACCTTTTCTTGCTTAGTCTTGGTTCACGAGAATTAGGGCACAATAAAATTGAGTTTTGTTTTCTCGTTTTGATTCCGTCTAATAATTTTGGAGTATGACACATGAAACGAGCCTGAAGGATGTTTTTGCCAAAGCTAAAGACGATGTGGTTTTGTTTGCTTTACCCACATCTCTTCCTTTTCTAAACGAAGACCAAGCTAATTTTTAATTTATTTACTACAGCTTCAACTACTTCAACAACAAGAGCATATTATTTGTGGGGTGCAAAAAAAGCCAGTTTTACAGTTTGGCTGTAACTAACATCTACTTGACCGAAAGTCATTTTTACTAGCCCGAAAAAAAATTTAGACATGTATTTTAGACATTTTAGAATTTAGAAACGCATTTTAAGAAAAAAAACGGCGTTGAAACCGTGAAACCAAAGTTCTCAATGGACACACTAAACGACAACGTCGACAACGCGAAAAGCTGCTAGTGAAAGCGCTTCATTTTCCTATTTGCCGCCAAAAAAAATTCCTGCCGGAGTATTTCTTATATATATATATTACATACCGTTTATTTGCCACATCGTAGAATTAACTGAATTAAAGGGCTATAAATTAACAATCAAAAAATAATTATCACTAATACTACTATAGAGACAATAAAATTATCATAAATAATTATTTACATATTCACATATTTACAAGCGAATGAAATAAAGGAACCTGAACGCTGGGTCCGGCAACAACTCCTATCAGCGTAAACAATATTTCTATTGTTGTCGTTGGCCCGTAAGTTGTGACTATGACCACTAGATGCTGTTCTCGGCTTAAGGAAATTAATGGGGTGGTCCTTTTGACTCATCTTCTGAATATATTTGCAGCAGAGCTGAGTTCGTCTTTCTTTCAAGCTGCTAAGGTTGGTAGTAATAAGGGCATCTAAGTAACTATAGCATGGATAGATAATATGTAGTGCTCTTTTTTGGATTGACTCCAGCTTATTTGAAAGAAATTCAGGAATATCTTGCCAGACTTGTACGCCATATTCTAATATAGTTCTTATTGTTATCAAATAAACTTTGACGATTCCCTTTCTATTAACACCCACCTTTTTAAGAATCTTTAGGGAATACAGGCGTTTCGAGGCTTTTTTCGATATGTGATCAATATGCTCGTTCCACTTTAGCGATAACTTTCTTACTGTGAAATTTTATCAACTGATTTCTAGTGCTAAAATAAGGGCAAATAGTCGAAAATGGGAATTTGGCAAGCTT